ACTATAATTGATGATTCTCAGAGCTCTTTTCTGTAAAATAAATAAGGGTTGTGTAGTTTTTGTATGTTGTTCCCCACATTTATACACCATAAGTCAAGTACGGAACAGTGGATTGTACAATGCCAACAAACCAGAAATAGTCAGTAAAAACTTGACTCTTTGTAATACTCCAAAGGATTTGGCAGTTTTACCTTTTATGTAACTAATATGGGATTTCCATGTCAAGTCTTCATCAATAAGAACTCCAAGAACTTTAGTTTCTTTTACTCTTTGAATTGCAATCCCATCTATTTCCAATGACGCATCACTGTTCTTTTTAATCATTAAACAGTATAAAATGTGTTTTATTAAGATTCAGTGCCAATCTATTTATATCAAACCAGTTTTTAATTTTAATCAGTTCATCATTTATCACTTTAGCCACCTCCTCAATATTTGATCCTGAGTAAAACAGTGTTGTATCATCTGCAAATAGAATGGTACCGAGTGTCTTAGATACCTGTATCAAGTTGTTAATGAACAAAATGAACAGTTTGGTCCGAGGACCGACCCTTGTGGCACTCCACAATTAATTTCACATAGTTTTGATTTATGGTCCTTTATCTGAACAAACTGTTTCCTGTTTCATATTTTTACTCATTTTAATCCAGTGTTTTCTCTGTAGGGGCCCTCTGCCCCGAGGGCGGTGGTCGACTTTAGCTTCCAGGGCGCTCTTCAGGTAGTGTTTGAGTGGAGGTGGGGGTCTATGCTCCCCCTCCTCTGAGCGCCCTGACTAAAGGTTGGTTTATGCTTGACGCGTCCGCGAGGTCCGCACGGCTCCGCGCGGAAAAGTTGCGTCATTTTGCGTCATTTTAACAACCACGCCCCTCCACCGCGTCTCCGCACGGCCCAAGATTTCCGCAACGCGCACCTCGGAAAATTTCTAACCACGCGGACGGACGGACGCGGAAAAACATGGCGGCCCGGCACGGCAGAGGTTCGTAAATACAGACATTTGTATGATTCAGCTCTCAGAGATCACCGTGATCAACATGTTGTTAATAATTCTTGGAGAGAAATAGCTCGCACTGTCGGAAAAGACGAGGACGCTGTTAAACATGCTGGAATACCATGTTGTAAACAGTGATTTCTACTTCTACTATGGTGTAGTGTTGGATGCATGCTGTAGAGCTCCATGCTGCCCCCTACAGTTTGGGAGAATATTGGCTCACCGCAGAGACGAGCCGCACAAACCATAAACGCTGCGAGTTGTGAAGCGCGTTCCATCCGCGAGCCGCATCACCGCGCGGAAAGTGAATGCGTCAAGCATAAACCAAGCTTTAGTGTGGCAGACCTGATGCTGCCGGGGCAGACGGCTCCTCTGATGGAGTTTCCGTGCCTTACCTGGACTCAGCCCAATATAATTTTTTACTGATGTGTGTGCATGTCTGTTAATGTTTTGAAACGGTCATTAATTTGGTCATTTTGTGAAGCACTGGACCGGACCGGACCCGACCGACCGACTAGGGAATTGTTCTGTAAATCAGTCATGGGCAGCAAAAACGTTAAATTGGGAACCCCCCAGATATCACAAACATTTGTTTTCACCTGAAAACAGAACGCGTTTCCTCTGGGATGTCTGTGGGTTGGTTTAAAGGCTTAGGCTGAACCCGTTTGTGGCAGCAGTGAGATTGTAAATGAATGAGTATTTAAAACGTCCGTGTTAAAAACCCAGAAGAGTCTGTCTTTGTGACGTTCTCTAAATGTTTATCCGGAACTGGACAATAATTGGATGACAGCAGAGGGCATGCTTATTTCTGATCTAGTTGGCTGAGGCTTTTCTCACTTGCAGAGAAGAGGTTGTGGACAGCCTGGGTGGCGTTGAGCGAAGGCAGCTCCAGACACTGAGCCAGACAGGAAAGGGCGTGGCCTTGGACGGTGGGCGACGCGTCCACCCGTCGAGCAAACAGCAGATCCTGGATCAGAAACTTGTGTGGCAGGAAGCCAGTGAGCTCTGGATCCTGGCACTCCTTCGGGCTCCTCTCAGGCTGCTTCAGCAGGACCATCACCACGTCCACAGAGAACAGCCGGTGCACCATCTACAGGAGCCAGAACAGCAGAACAAACCTTTAGCCTGATCAGAGCCCTCCAGGCAGGAGAGTTCTCCCAACGGCAGTAAACACAAAAGAAGGAGGTTAGCTTAGCACGATTACCTTTGTGGCTCTGGAGCAGGTAGACAGCCACTTGACAAAGCGGGCGTAGTCTGTACTGGACATCTCCGATGTTAGCATACCTACTGCCTGGGCTCCATTGCTTCTAAACTCAGCTTTCTCCACCATCTACACATCAGCAGCAGAAGATATGAGGTGATGCAGCCAGGTCTGAATCCACCGTATGGATGAACAAAGTCCCTCAACATAAACCTCTTTCCACAACTGCAAGTGAATCCAAAAGGTGAGGGTATGGTTATCACCTGAAAGCAGATGTGCTCCAGGAGGATTTGAAGGAAAGGCAGAGCCAGCTCTTTCTGCTCTTCCACACAGTGACTGGAATCAGGAACAACGTTCATATGAAATCAAGTCATTTAAGCTTTAGGGTTTGGGTTAAGGTTAGAGGTTAGGGTTTATTCCTACCAAACAAACTGGATGGCCTGGTTGCGGGTGCTGATGACGGACTGGTTCAGAACCAGAGGAGATGGTTGTCTTCCGCTGCTTTTATCCATCATCAGGATCACGTAGAGAAGATGGTGGAACAGCCTCCTGAGGGACTGGACACACGGCTCAGATTTACTAAACCTGCTGTGCATCCCCAGATTACAGCGTCTGTGGAGAAACTGGTGTTTTATGAGACGTTTGCAGTACTTCACCTTTTTCTGGTCTCCATGTTTGGGGTCGCACAACAGTTTGAGGCCATAGAAAGCCATTTCAGGGATGCTCCTCAGCTCAGCAACATCTCTGCACAGATCATCCGAGTCAGCATCACATCAACCATCATTTAGTCACCATGACAGAAGTGAAGGAGCTCACCTTGGAGCAGCAAGGGTCAGCTCCCCCACGACAGGCTCAAAGTAGAGCAGCTTAATGAAGATCTGTGAAGGACAGAGACGGTTTGAGCTGCTTGCACATCAAACCGCTGCAGGTGGATCCGCGTCTGGGTTACCCGAGTGCAGTTGTCGGCGCTTTGCAGCGTATTGGTCAGTGGAAATGTCTGCAGGAGCCTGAGGAGGCTCTGAACCAGGACAGCAACAGCATTTCTGATCTTCACCAATTCACACCCAGAGAAATCTACTCCTTCTTCTTCATCCACCTCCATCTGAGGAAAACACCCACGCTACATAAGGACATCAGACTCCCTAACAGGATGTGCGATGAAAACTCTGTTGTGAAAAACTCTGATGACTCCTTTTTAACACCAAATTTTTTCTGTTAAATAAATAAAGTTATCGTGAAGTGATGGAAACCAGACTACGCCCCTGGTTTTGTCGTGGTGTCGTACCTCTGAAGGCTCCTTCTGCTGAGGTTTGGAGCGTTTGCTTTTTCCCCTGGAGCCCTTCTGACCTTCCTTTTTGCGCTTCTTCCCAGCGTCGTGAGGCCAGCAGAGGCAGGTCAGATCGCAACATGTGTCCAACAAGACCTCATGGAAAACCTTGTTGGCGATGCTTCCTGGAATCGGCAGACATGTAACTTCACACACACTCTCGTGCACACAGAGCACTTTCCCACCAGCTTCAGGAGACTCATGTTGTTGTTAAACTACAACAAAAACAATTATTTATTATTATTACATTAATAGTTGTGCAGCAGGTGGGAATGAGTGGAGAAAAGTATCAGGAGATGCGTGATAAAAGGTTTTCTCGTGTAGAAGAGGGCGGTGAGAGCAGCCATGCTGTCTGGTTAGGAGACAGTGTCCAGGAGACAGAGACAGGAGATAGAACTGAAGGTTCTCTCTCTTTAGGAGTGACGAGGATGGAAAGGATCCAATACGAGTCCATCAGAGGGACGGCTCATGTTAGATGGCTAAGAGAGGACAGACTGAGATGTGTGGAAATGTCCAGAGGAGAGACAATGATGGCATAGGTAGAAGGATGCTGAGGTTGGAGCCACCAGGCTGAGAGAAGGACCAACAAGGAGAAAGAGGAGTATGATGTTTTAATATAATCTGACTTACTTATAGGATGAGATTGTCTCACCTGGGATCCCCAGCAGCAGCAGGTAGAGCGAGGCAGAATAGAGTCCGTTAACCCGCTGCTGTGTGGTGGCATCTTTAGCTTTAGCCACGAGGACAAACAAGGACAGCACAGCAACCAGAGTCTTGATCGAAACCCCGTTTTCTCCAAGAATCGCCCAGACGTTCTGCAACATGGGAGACCCAAAACACCGGTGAACATCCTTTATCCCTCAGGAGCATCTAATCTCACACCTTCACAGAACCAAAGGAACACCATCCATCCATCCAATACGAGGAAAACCGCCTGCTGCTCAGAAACAGGAGCCAACCGCTGCTCTGAGCTGAATTTTACTTTTTAGATTAAACTATTTTGAAACACCAGGTTGTGGGCACATTTGATGCATTATCCATACACTTACTGTAAGAATTGTTTTAACTACATTCATTCAATTAAAGAAATAAAAACTTTAAAGTCTAATGTGGTTCAATTCTAACTCACCAAATCTCTGTGTCAAGATTTAGGGCTCGTAGATTATTCCAACCAGATTAAAGATTTAATGGTGCAGCAGTAGCTCAGGAGGTAGAGCGGGTTGCGTCATGATCGGAAGGTCATGGGTTCGATTCCAGCTCCCGCCAGGGCTATTCTGCTGTTGTGTCCTTGGGCAAGACACTTCACCCAACTTGCCTGTGTTGGTGGTGGACTTTGAGTGTCCTAACAAAGCGCTATATAAGTTCAATGTATTATTATTATTAATTTTCACTTAAAAATAATAATTAAAAAAGCTAGACTCATTATATCTAAGATTCAAACACTATCAAATATGTCCAAGATGCATGCAAATGACTAGTTAAAGGAGAAGGAGACGTGTTTTCTGAAGCCAAATGTAGGGATTAGGATATCAGGCCTTCATTATCCATGGATTACCTTAACTCAGAGGGTCTAACTTGCCCATCTCCTTTCAATAACTCACATTAACTTCAGTTCATTTGTAGATTTGGTTAAATCTAATCATCCATCTCTGACTTTGGGCTAGACAATAATCCAATAGTGATACATATCTATCGATAGACATGTGGTTCGATAGAAAACAACTGGGTGAATAAAAACTAAAAAGATTCATTTGTTTTTTTCATTATGGCCCATCACAGTCATCACTTACTCCCAACCAATCAAAACAACACAGACCCAGCCAGCTCCCACACCAAGCTCTCCTCTCAAACCAAGGAGGAGGAAACCTCCCAAAACAGGTTACAAGACTTCACCAGAACGTCTGTCTGACCAAAAAACAACCAAGCATTTCCAAAACTTCAGTAAAGCAGGAAACCAGATCAAAATTAAATTATGTTCAATTCAATTCAAAAATACTTTATTAATCCCAAAGGGAAACTGATTGCTGTAGTAGCTCAGAATAATAATAATAATCAAGTCATCAAAGAGTTGTTGTATATTACAATGGCTGTTGGCAGGAAGGATCTCCAGTAGCGGTCAGTGTTGCAGCGATACTGAAGATGCATCTGACTGAAGACACTCTTCTGTTGTCGGACAGTCTTGTGAAGAGAATGCTCAGGGTTGTCCATCATTTTCTTGATTCTCTGGAGAATCCTTCTTTGCATGATCTCCTCCAGCGGTTCCACAGTCGTCCCCAGAACAGAACCAGCCTTTTTTATTAGGCTGTTGAGCCTTTTCAGGTCCCTGCTTCTGATGCTGCTACCCCAACAGACGATGGCTGAAGAGATTACACTCTCAACAACAGGCTTGTAGAAGATCTGCAGCATCTTGCTACAGACGTTGAAGGACCCAAGTATCCTCAAGAAGTGCAGTCTGCTGTGTCCCTTCTTGTAAACGGCTTCGCTGTTCTTTCTCCTGTCCAGTCTGTTGTCCAGGTGAACTCCAAGGTATTTGTATTCCTCAACCACCTCCACTTCTTCTCCCATGATGGAAACAGTGTTTGACTCCACCCTGTTTCTTCTGAAGTCTAAAATCATCTCCTTTGTTTTGTTCACGTTCAAGGTCAGATGATTGTTTTCACACCATGCCACAAAGCGCTCCACCAGCTCTCTGTACTCAGCTTCCTGTCCATCGCTGATACACCCGACAACTGCAGAGTCATCTGAGTATTTCTGTAGATGACAGGTCTCTGATTTGTACTGGAAGTCTGAGGTGTACAGGGTGAAAAGGAATGGTGAGAGTACAGTCCCCTGTGGTGCTCCAATGTTACTGATCCCCTGATTTGATGTGCAGTTCTTCAGCCTCACAAACTGTGGTCCGTTTGTCAGGTAGTCTTTAATCCAGGCGATAGTTGAGGCCCCCACCTGTGTCTTCTGGAGTTTCTGGCAAAGTACATCAGGCTGAATTGTGTTAAATGCACTGGAGAAATCAAAGAACATGACCCTCACAGTGCTGCCTGCTTTGTCCAGGTGACAGTGGGTTGGTTGGAGCAGCTGGATGATGGCATCTTCAACTCCAACGCCATGGCGATAAGCAAACTGCAGCGGGTCCTGATATGTTCTAGTTTGCTTATTCAGGTGGACCAACAGGAGTCTCTCCAGGACCTTCATGATGTGGGATGTCAGGGCAACCGGTCTGTAGTCGTCACTGACTGATGAGCGAGTTTTCTTTGGAACTGGAACAAGGCAGGATGTCTTCCACAGGACTGGAATCTTCTCCTGGGTCAGGCTGAGGTTGAAGAGGTGCTGCAGAATCCCACAGAGCTGCTCTGCACAGGCCTTCAGTACCCTGGGGCTGACACCATCTGGACCTGCAGCCTTGTTCCTGTTCAGTCTCTCCAGCTGCCTCTTCACCTGACTTCTAGAGACAGATAGGTGGGAGGGGGAGGTAAATGGGGCAGCAGCATCTCCTGACTTGGTTGAAGACAGATTTATAGAACCAGAAGAGTCCATGACTGCGTTAGAGGACAAAAGAGCTGGCGTGTGACCGGACAATGTTTGATCAGAGGAGGATGGGATGTCCGATTGGCTGGGGACAGGCGAGGAGGATGCCGGGTTTGTTCCTGAACTGAACCTATTGAAGAACTTGTTCAGTTCATTGGCTGTGTCCAGGCTGCCATCTGTGCAATCCTTCCTCTGCGTGAAGCCTGTAATCTTCTTCATCCCTGACCAGACATCTCTGATATTGTTCCTCTGTAGTTTGTTCTCCAGCTTCTTCCTGTATGCCTCCTTGCCGTCTCTGATCTTGATCTTCAGTTGCTTCTGTATACTCCTCAATAATTCCCTGTCTCCCTCCTTGAAGGCTCTTTTTTTCTCATTTAGCAGATTCTTCAGTTCACTGGTGATCCAGGGTTTGTTATTAGCAAAGCATCTCACTGTTCTGGTGGGTATGACGTGTCCACACAGAAGTTTATATAGTCAGTGACACATCTAGTCATGGCATTGATGTCCTCTTCATATCCTTGGCTGAGAGTCATCCAATCTGTGGTCTCAAAACAACCCTGCAGGGCTTCTTCAGCGTCCTGTGACCATTTTCTCACAGTTCTTCTTGTCACAGGTTGCCTCTGAACAAGTAGTTTGTATTCTGAGCAGAGAAAAACAAGATTGTGGTCCGATTGTCCTAGAGGAGGTCTTGTTTTGGACATGTATGCATTCTTTACATTTGCATAACACAAATGCAAGGTCTTGTTCTCTGGTGGGGCAGCTGACAAACTGTTGAAATGTTGGAAGTGTAGCAGAGAGTGAGGCATGATCAAAATCACCAGATATATCCACAAATGCATTGGGGTGCTGGGTTTGTAGCTTAGCGACAACAGAACTGATGGCATCACATGCATTTTCAGCAATGGCTGAAGGTGGAATATAAACGGTTGCCAAGACAACACTGGTGAACTCTCTTGGCAAATAATATGGGCGACAACTTACTGCCAAGAGTTCAACATCTGGGCTGCAGAGACGACATTTCACTGAAACATGACCTGGATGGCACCATCTGTTGTTGACAAGCACTGCCACTCCACCTCCTTTTCTTTTCCCGCTCCTCTTCAGATCTCTGTCTGCTCGTACAGTCAGGAATCCTGGCAGAGAGACGCTGGAATCGGGGATATGGTCCTGCAGCCACGTCTCAGTGAAACACATAATACTGCACTGCCGATACTCTGGCTGAGTCCTTGATAGGGCTTGGAGTTCATCCATCTTGTTGGCCAGTGATCTCACATTGCCCATTATGATCAATGGAAGAAATGGTTTGAATTTCCTCTTTCTCTGTCCCCGTTTTGCTCCCGCTCTGCATCCACGCTTCTTGCGTTTTAGCTCATTTGGGATTCGTGGCTTCAGTTGAGGTATTATTTCAGCCTTTCCAATGTTAATCAGCTGCTCCCGATTGTAAACCAGCTTGTTGCCATGGTTACACATCATAACAAATGCTCAAAAAGTGGAAAAAATAGCAGTAAAAATCCTCTAAGCTTCACAGCACCAGAAACAGAAAAGTAAAAGGTCCAAAACATACAGTTTTTCTTAAGATGCTAGAAGAAAAAATGTCCAAAAAAGGTAAAACTTACATGTAGTTAACAGAGCTACTCCAACATGCAGCCACCCAGAGCAACACGATAATTGGAAGTGCCACCCTACTTAGAACATAAAGTAGGTTCATAAATAAAAACACTGTGAAGCTTTAAGAGCCGTCAAGATTCTACTCTTTAAAAGCAAAAACGCCTATAGGGCGACGGTGGCACAGGAGTGAAGTGCTCGCCCTATAGGCGATGGCGAGTAAGATGGCACTCGCGCAGGTTCACGCTGCGAGCAGCTCGTCCTCTTTATGCTCTGGTACCTTGCTTTTAACTGGTTTTTATTGGCGTTTTATTGGCTTTTATGCATTTTTGTTGTCTCTGATGCTTTTTTTGAATGGTGTGGATCCTCTGCTGACATACGATCGAGCTGCTGAGGCTTCGTCCTTCCGTTGATGTAGCCGGCAGCGCGCGCTGGGAACCGGGCTGTGCGAGCTATGAACCTCACGGACGATGCTGCTGGTTGGACTGCCCTTTTCCTCTCTCCCCCCAAGCCGTGATGTGTCGGCCCTCTGTCCGTCCCAGTTCGAGAAGGAAGCATCGGAGAAGACGAGGAAAGAGAGGTAGCCGGCGCGTGAGACGTCGGCCTGGATCCCTGAACAAGCGGCTGGCCCAATTCGGCCCAGCTTCTGACCCGGTGGTTCCGAGATGTCTCCTGGATTACTCGGCGCCCTGCCCAGGGAACTTGGCCGGCTCTGAGGGTGAACCGGCACCGCGCCACGGCCGATCGGCTCAAAGATCTTGCCAGACTGGGGTTTGCTGGGAGAATCTGCGCTCGGTTACGGGCACAGAGTTAAAGGAGACTGGGCCCGTGTGCGATCTCGGTGCTGCAGCCCCGCAGCAGACCCAGTTTGGTCTGGTCAATGCCAGGTCTGTGCTGAACAAAACTTTTATTCTTCGTGACTTTTTTATTCAGCATGACCTGAGTTTTCTCTGCATTTGTGAGTCCTGGATCCCGTTTGGTGACTCAAGCACCCTGCTGGAGCTGGTTCCACCTGGCTGCTCCTGTTTGAATACCCCCAGATCACGGGGCAGAGGTGGAGGGCTGGTTGTTGTTTTTAAATCCAGCTTTCCTTGTAAACAGCTTACACCCACCATGTCATTTTCTTCCTTTGAACTGTGCTTATTTGAACTGTGCATCTCCCCCCGCCTGCTCGTTGTGCTGATTTATCGCCCTCCAAAGACTGACTCTAACTTCCTTAATGATTTCTGTGATCTTGTGGCAGACTGCATCCTAAAATATGACTATGTCCTATTTTTTGGTGATTTTAACATCCATATCGGCTGTCCTGATAATGTGCTTGCTAAAGGTTTTTTTAATTTGCTAGATTCATTCAATTTGACTCAATGGGTATCGTCCCCAACTCATGCCAGGGGTCACACCCTGGACCTGGTTCTCTCTTTTGGTCTACCCGTCATGAACCTTGTGACTTTGCCTCCTGTGCTCTCTGACCACTCTCCAATACTCTGTGATGTTACGTTGCCATATCCTGTCCCTGTGTGTGAAACTCCAGCTACTAGGTTAAGAGCCCTGGATGCAGAAACAATTTCAAAGTTTGTGGACTGTATGTCTGTAAGGTTAGAGACCTTTAACCCAGATCCATCTAACATTGATCACTATTCACAACACTCTGATTTACTTTGTAATCAGGTCCTGGACGTAGTTGCTCCTCTCAAGCTTTGCAAGTCTAGGAGGGAGCCTTGGCTCTCTGATGTCACACGGGCTTGTAGGCGGGCGTGTAGATCCTCTGAGAGAAAGTGGAAAAAGGATGGCCTACAGGTCTCGCGTGAGTTGTTCAGAGCATCTCTGGTTGTTTATCAGGATGCTGTGAGGGCTGCCAGAATGGCCTATTTTGCAAACATCATTGAGACAAACTCCAATAATCCTAAGATTCTCTACAAAACGCTAAACTCAGTTCTGGTGTATCAGGAGCCTAGCTCCATGTCTCCTACAGCTGCTGGAAACTCTGAAGATTTTCACAGTTTCTTTGTAGATAAAGTATCAAGCATTAGAGCAGCTATTTCTGGTAACTCTGTTGACCCTGTTCCAGTTCCTCCATTACCACCCACCCTGAGCTCCCTCAATACTGTTTCATGCTCCGAGCTGAATAAGCTAGTTATGAGGCAGAAGCCATCTGGCTCTCCACTTGAGGTTCTGCCGCCTCGTCTCTGGAAGGCTGCCTTTCCGTGCCTTGGCCCATCACTTGGTCAGATTATCAATGGGAGCCTCAGCACAGGTGTGGTCCCAGCTGCTTTGAAAGCAGCTGTTATTCGGCCGACCCTGAAGAAACCTGGTGCTGATGTCTCTGTGATAGAAAATTACAGGCCTATCTCTACCCTGCCTTTTACATCGAAACTGCTTGAGAAAGTTGTTTATCAGCAGCTGGTCTCACATTTAGCTGACTCTGATCTGTTTGAGGTTTTCCAATCAGGGTTCAGGTCTGGCCATAGCACAGAGTCGGCTCTACTGAGGGTCCTAAATGACATCTACCTATCACTAGATCAGGGAACATCTGTGCTGCTTCTGTTGTTAGACCTGACAGCAGCCTTTGACACAGTTGACCACGCGATTCTACTCGATCGCTTGGAACGATGGGTTGGGATCAAAGGGTCTGCTCTGGACTGGTTTAGATCGTATCTCCACAACAGGACATTCTGTGTTAAATTGGGTGATGTTTTTTCTTCTTGGGAGGGGCTCTGCTGGGGGGTCCCGCAGGGGTCGATCCTTGGTCCTCTTTTGTTTGCCATTTATCTGCTACCTCTGGGGTCAATCTTTCGTAAACATGGCCTATCATTCCATCTATATGCTGACGATTGCCAGATTTACTCTCCATTGTGTCAGGAGAAAGGTCACTCTATCCAGTCCTTTGTGTCCTGTGTTAATGAGGTGAAGTCTTGGCTAATGTCCAACTATCTACATCTGAATGAGGGAAAGACAGAGCTCATTGTTTTTCACCCCAACAGCAGGAATGTGGATCGTTATGTTGATCTTGGCCCTCTTTCTCCATACTCAAAACCAGTTGTTACCAGTTTGGGGGTGAAATTTGATGCAGGACTTCAATTTGATGCTCACATCAATTCTGTGATCCGGTCCAGTTTCTTTCACCTGAGACGTCTTGCAAAAATCAAGCATATGCTGTCGAGAGTCCACCTGGAGCGGGTACTGCATGCCTTTGTAATTTCTAAGCTTGACTACTGCAACTCTCTCTATGCAGGGCTGTGTCAGTCATCACTGCGTCGCCTACAGGTTGTGCAGAACAGCGCCGCCAGGTTCCTGACTGGGACCAGGAAACGGGACCACATCAGTCCAGTTCTGGCCTCCCTGCACTGGCTTCCGATTTGCTATCGCTCACAATTCAAAATCCTCGTCTTTGTTTATCATTTCTTCCAGGGTGGTGCTCCCCCCTATCTGGCCACTCTCCTGAACAAACATTCCCCTGCGCTCCTCTGACCAAGGCCTGCTCGCTGTCCCTCGTTCTAGGTGCCGTACCCGTGGGGACCGGGCTTTCTCAGTCCTAGCACCGTTACTCTGGAACCAGTTGCCACCCTCTGTTAGGTTGTCCCCCTCTCTGCTAGTCTTTAAGAATCACCTAAAAACTCACCTCCTCCGCTTGGCGTTTCCAGAACATGTTTGACTTTGGCCCTCTTTTATGTTGAATTTATTTCACAGTTTTAATTGGTTCACGCAATCCATCCACTCAATCCAAATGTGTTTCACACATTTGTCCTGTACCAGAATGTTTCATCTATCTTGTAATTTCTATTTTGTTATTTGTATTTTGTAATTTGTATTTTGTAATTTGAATTGCTTTTATTGTTGATTTATTCAATATATTTACCTACAACTGTACCATGTTCAGCGCTTTGGGCTTCCTGACAGGGTTGCGGAAGGCGCTTTATAAATAAAGCTTTGATTGATTGTAATCGGAAGGTTGCAGGTTCGAGCCCAGCTCAGCTTGTCACTGTCGTTATGTCCTTGGGCAAGACACTTAACCCACGTTGTCTGCTGGTGGTGGTCGGAGGGACTGGTGGCGCCAGCGCTCTGCAGCCTCACCTCTGTCAGTGCGCCCTAGGGCAGCTGTGGCTACATCGTAGCTCATCCCCACCAGTGTGTGTTGTAAAGGGGGGGTTCCAGCACCCTAGAAGGTGCTATATCAAATACAGGCCATTTACATGGAGGACTATTTCACAGCAAACCACAAATACATCCTGGAGGCAGGAATATTAACATAATAAAGACTAAACTGCAAATATTATCTCTAAAACTTGTGTTTTGTTAGAAGAAAACTTTAGAATAGCTGAAAATCTGTCCTAATCTGTCAGTGTTAAAATTACAAATAATCCCGGTGAGGGACAGCGAGCGTGTAGTCCCTGACCCTGAGAGGAAGCTACATCAGGACCAGCTGAGTTTACCAGTGAAGCTGCGTCTGCAGACTGCTGCTGGTCAGCCGCGTGGACGACTAAACAGTGGTACAGGGTTCTGAAGGCATCTTCTCTACAGGCGTGGAGCTCTTCCTCTATGGAGTCATCTAGAGGTTTCTCCTCGGTGAACTCCAGGTCCCACACGGCATCCACCCAGTCTGGAAAGAAGTAACCGCGATGTGGTCAGTGAGTTTAAGGTCACATTAGTCTGCTGGAAATATGAGACTTAACAACTTTCAGCTAAAATATAATAAAATGTCTGATCTGAGCTGTTATTCTGCAGCAGGCTGATCTCAGCGTGGAAATAAACCCTCGACGTCGGAGATAAGGACTATAACGCTAACTAGCACGGGTCTGCGTTACGTAGTGAAACCGTCGGTAACTGATAACCACAAAAGAACTTTATTTAGTTTTACCTTTGGGAATTTCGTTTAACCGCAAAAATTGCAGTGCAGATATCAACTCCATCTTTGTTTTCAAACGGGCCCGCTCGAAACCGGCGCGGCGCACCTGCGCAGTGAATCAGACCCACTTCCTTGTTTCCCCAAAAGCCCCGCCTCTTTATTTCCCCTTGACGTGTGGTACAATACTGCCCTCTTGTGGTATCGACAGGAACCGCCACTTCGACCTGTAGGGAAACGGGTGTTTTAAATTTTGAAACCGGAAATACACAATAAACTTTTAGCAAACGTAAAGTTTTAACGTCTTCTAAACTATTTTTTATACTTTTGGTGAAAATTCTTAATTCTTCAACACGGATTGTCTTTTTGTAGTACCAGAGTAGACCTGGTTACTTTTCACTCTGATTTGAGAAAAATCAGAAAGGTTGTTTCTAATTTCTTTACATTTGATTTCAAGTTCAATTTTTACAGACACTAAAAATGAGTTTGTGGCATTTTCTCTGCATAGCCACCCCTCTTTCTACTGGATCACAACCAAATGAAGAGAGTAGGATAACAGCTGTTCCCTCCTGAAGTCCACCACCATTTCTTTTTTGTTTGTTTTGCAGATGTTGAGCTGGAGGTTGTTGGCATGGTTCCATCTCTCCAGTTGCCTTCTGTGACCAGGCATTTCTGTGTCATCAGAAAATGGAGTGATGATGGCGTTGGAGCTGCGGGTGGCTGTGCAGTCAGGATCTGTAGAGGGAGAACAGCAGGGGACCAAAACATGGCCCATCACAACCTCAGCACACAGAATCTGAAGACAAAAGGCAGCATGAAACCTACACATTAGTGAGGAGGGAAGCGTTTGCTACCACAAAAGGCTTACGTTATTAGTGTACGTGGGTGTTAGCTAAAAACAAGTCATCTAAGGTCAAAAAGGAAAAATAATTTATTGTCAGAACTTTTACCAGAATAATTTGTACAAAATGCAAAAATTATCTGTTTGAAAAAGTAAAATTAAACATTCTTTTTGAGGGAGTGACACCAAGAATCCTTGTTCCTGTCTTGATTCTCAGTAATCATCTTCCTAACAACTCGACACCTTCTCCGTTTACACACACGTGCACGCGCGTGCGCACACATCCTTCGGGTCAGGTTGACTTAAGATTCGGTTAAACTAAACGGACACAAAATCTGCTGAACTGGTTCCGATTCAAAAGCAGACGGGCCAGGAGAGACACAGGATACCAGGGTAACAATACTAACCACTACACCACCACTAGCCAGTCCCATTAACCAGTCAATGGAACTGCATCTTTACTGTGATAGTCCCTTGTACTGGGGAGGCACAGAGACAGGTGGGACATGGTGCTGGAGTGGGTCAGAACTTCACCAGCACCAGCAGGCATCCCTCACCAAACATCTAAAAAAAAACTTTTCACACCCAGATGTTACTTTAAATGAGACTGGATCAGGTAAACCATGATAACTAATGCAACACTAACATTTATATTCCATGTTTACAAACCCAGTGAGCTCAGATTGTTTAACAGAAGCAGTAAAACTGGGTGTGGACGTCTTTGCCCGGGTTTGGGTTCATTAGTTGGTGATAAATCAGCTTTTCATTCATTTAATAATGAATCTAAAAAAGTAAAAGGCTGTAGTCTGAGCTAAACACCTTCAAAATAAAAGCTCAGAACCGATGCGATTCCTGACCCAGCTGCATATGAATTTAATAAACTGCTTCGAAAACTCTGTCCCTTGTCTGTTGGCAGGAGCCCTTCTAGTTTGTCTAAAGAAACAATTTTTACATCAGAAGTTATTTACATTTATTTCTGGTGTTCACCAAAACAAAGTTTTAATGTAAAATTAATCCAGGAAATAAAAACCTTTAACTTTGAAGAACAGATACATTCATCTGGATGTTCCTAAAAACTTTGGAAGTTTTGGATTAATTCACTTTAATTTGTCTTTGAGTCTGTCTCATTAGATTTGTCACAATCAGGTGGAATCAACAATCATAACTGATGGTGTATTGTCATGTCTCATAGCAATCACATCGCTCCTCTTCTTCATCAAACTCCTCTTGATCCCACAGCTCCAGGCCATCACACACTTCTATCCCAGAGTCTCCAGTGAAGTGCCGGTACCTGCCCGGCATCCAGTCTGTGTTATGGTTGGTGTTTTGGATCTGTGTGGCCTCTGGAGTCACCGGTAATGCTGCATAAGCATTAGTGAGGAGAGAGGGAGCAGACAGGAAGACGGGGGCCTCCTCAGGGGGAGGTGCTGACTCCAGAGGGGTGTAAGGAGGAGGAGGGGTAGCTGGGTGATTAACTGCATCTTCATAGGCAGGTAGGAGGTAGATGGGTAGAAGTCCTGAAGGGAAGATAGTCATTAACATCAGGGATAACAAGCGTGCTAGCAACACTAGCAACATCAATGCAACACCAGGAAACATCCTAGCAACACTAGGAAACATCAATGCAACATCAGGAAACATCCTAGCAACACTAGCAACATCAATGCAACACCAGGAAACATCCTAGCAACACCAAGAAACATCCTAGCAACACTAGCAACATCAATGCAACACCAGGAAACATCAATGCAACACCAGGAAACAGCAAAGCAACACTAGGAAACATCAATGCAACATCAGGAAACATCCTAGCAACACTGGGAAACATCAATGCAACATCAGGAAACATCCTAGCAACACTAGCAAACATCAAAGCAACACCAGGAAACATCCTAGCAACACCAAGAAACATCCTAGCAACACTAGCAACATCAATGCAACACCAGGAAACATCAATGCAACACCAGGAAACAGCAAAGCAACACTAGGAAACATCAATGCAACATCAGGAAACATCCTAGCAACACTAGGAAACATCAATGCAACACCAGGAAACATCCTAGTAACACCAAGAAACATCCTAGCAACACTAGGAAACATCAATGCAACACTAGGAAACATCAATGCAAAACCAGGAAACATCCTAGCAACACTAGGAAACATCAAAGCAACACTAGGAAACATCAAAGCAACACCAGGAAACATCCTAGCAACACTAGCAACATCAATGCAACACCAGGAAACATCAATGCAACACCAGGAAACATCCTAGCAACACTGGGAAACATCAATGCAACATCAGGAAACATCCTAGCAACACTAGCAAACATCAAAGCAACACCAGGAAACATCCTAGCAACACCAAGAAACATCCTAGCAACACTAGAAAACATCAATGCAACATCAGGAAACATCCTAGCAACACTAGCAACATCAATGCAATACCAGGAAACATCAATGCAACACCAGGAAACAGCAATGCAACACTAGGAAACATCAATGCAACATCAGGAAACATCAATGCAACACCAGGAAACAGCAAAGCAACACTAGGAAACATCAATGCAACATCAGGAAACATCCTAGCAACACTAGGAAACATCAATGCAACACCAGGAAACATCCTAGTAACACCAAGAAACATCCTAGCAACACTAGGAAACATCAATGCAACACTAGGAAACATCAATATAAAACCAGGAAACATCCTAGCAACACTAGGAAACATCAAAGCAACACTAGGAAACATCAATGCAACATCAGGAAACATCCTAGCAACACTAGCAACATCAATGCAACACCAGGAAACATCAATGCAACACCAGGAAACATCCTAGCAACACTGGGAAACATCAATGCAACATCAGGAAACATCCTAGCAACACTAGCAAACATCAAAGCAACACCAGGAAACATCCTAGCAACACCAAGAAACATCCTAGCAACACTAGAAAACATCAATGCAACATCAGGAAACATCCTAGCAACACTAGCAACATCAATGCAATACCAGGAAACATCAATGCAACACCAGGAAACAGCAATGCAACACTAGGAAACATCAATGCAACATCAGGAAACATCAATGCAACACCAGGAAACATCCTAGTAACACCAAGAAACATCCTAGCAACACTAGAAAACATCAATGCAACATCAGGAAACATCCTAGCAACACTAGCAACATCAATGCAACACCAGGAAACATCAATGCAACACCAGGAAACAGCAAAGCAACACTAGGAAACATCAAAGCAACACTAGGAAACATCAATGCAACATCAGGAAACATCCTAGCAACACCAGGAAACATCCTAGTAACACCAAGAAACATCCTAGCAACACTAGCAACATCAATGCAACACCAGGAAACATCCTAGCAGCACTAGGAAACATCAAAGCAACACTAGGAAACATCCTAGCAACACCAGGAAACATCAATGCAACATCAGGAAACATCCTAGCAACACTAGCAACATCAATGCAACACCAGGAAACATCAATGCAACACCAGGAAACATCCTAGCAACACTGGGAAACATCAATGCAACATCAGGAAACATCCTAGCAACACTAGCAAACATCAAAGCAACACCAGGAAACATCCTAGCAACACCAAGAAACATCCTAGCAACACTAGAAAACATCAATGCAACATCAGGAAACATCCTAGCAACACTAGCAACATCAATGCAACACCAGGAAACATCAATGCAACACCAGGAAACAGCAATGCAACACTAGGAAACATCAATGCAACATCAGGAAACATCAATGCAACACCAGGAAACATCCTAGTAACACCAAGAAACATCCTAGCAACACTAGAAAACATCAATGCAACATCAGGAAACATCCTAGCAACACTAGCAACATCAATGCAACACCAGGAAACATCAATGCAACACCAGGAAACAGCAAAGCAACACTAGGAAACATCAAAGCAACACTAGGAAACATCAATGCAACATCAGGAAACATCCTAGCAACACCAGGAAACATCCTAGTAACACCAAGAAACATCCTAGCAACACTAGCAACATCAATGCAACACCAGGAAACATCCTAGCAGCACTAGGAAACATCAAAGCAACACTAGGAAACATCATAGCAACACCAGGAAACATCCTAGCAACACCAGGAAACATCCTAGCAACACCAGGAAACATCAATGCAACACTAGGAAACATCAATGCAAAACCAGGAAACATCCTAGCAACACTAGGAAACATCAAAGCAACACTAGGAAACATCAAAGCAACACCAGCAAACACCCTAGCAACACCAGGAAACATCCTAGCAACACTAGGAAACATCAATGCAACATCAGGAAACATCCTAGCAACACTAGCAACATCAATGCAACACCAGGAAACATCAATGCAACACCAGGAAACATCCTAGCAACACTAGGAAACATCAATGCAACATCAGGAAACATCCTAGCAACACCAAGAAACATCCTAGCAACACTAGCAACATCAATGCAACACCAGGAAACATCAATGCAACACCAGGAAACAGCAAAGCAACACTAGGAAACATCAAAGCAACACTAGGAAACATCAATGCAACATCAGGAAACATCCTAGCAACACCAGGAAACATCCTAGTAACACCAAGAAACATCCTAGCAACACTAGCAACATCAATGCAACACCAGGAAACATCCTAGCAGCACTAGGAAACATCAAAGCAACACTAGGAAACATCCTAGCAACACCAGGAAACATCCTAGCAACACCAGGAAACATCAATGCAACATCAGGAAACATCCTAGCAACACTAGCAACATCAATGCAACACCAGGAAACATCAATGCAACACCAGGAAACATCCTAGCAACACTGGGAAACATCAATGCAACATCAGGAAACATCCTAGCAACACTAGCAAACATCAAAGCAACACCAGGAAACATCCTAGCAACACCAAGAAACATCCTAGCAACACTAGAAAACATCAATGCAACATCAGGAAACATCCTAGCAACACTAGCAACATCAATGCAACACCAGGAAACATCAATGCAACACCAGGAAACAGCAATGCAACACTAGGAAACATCAATGCAACATCAGGAAACATCAATGCAACACCAGGAAACATCCTAGTAACACCAAGAAACATCCTAGCAACACTAGAAAACATCAATGCAACATCAGGAAACATCCTAGCAACACTAGCAACATCAATGCAACACCAGGAAACATCAATGCAACACCAGGAAACAGCAAAGCAACACTAGGAAACATCAAAGCAACACTAGGAAACATCAATGCAACATCAGGAAACATCCTAGCAACACCAGGAAACATCCTAGTAACACCAAGAAACATCCTAGCAACACTAGCAACATCAATGCAACACCAGGAAACATCCTAGCAGCACTAGGAAACATCAAAGCAACACTAGGAAACATCAAAGCAACACCAGGAAACATCCTAGCAACACCAGGAAACATCCTAGCAACACCAGGAAACATCAATGCAACACTAGGAAACATCAATGCAAAACCAGGAAACATCCTAGCAACACTAGGAAACATCAAAGCAACACTAGGAAACATCAAAGCAACACCAGGAAACACCCTAGCAACACCAGGAAACATCCTAGCAACACTAGGAAACATCAATGCAACATCAGGAAACATCCTAGCAACACTAGCAACATCAATGCAACACCAGGAAACATCAATGCAACACCAGGAAACATCCTAGCAACACTAGGAAACATCAATGCAACACCAGGAAACATCCTAGCAACGCCAGGAAACATCCTAGCAACACTAGCAACATCAATGCAACACCAGGAAACCTCCTAGCAACACTAGGAAACATCAAAGCAACACTAGGAAACATCAAAGCAACACCAAGAAACATCTTAGCAACACTAGCAACATCAATGCAACACCAGGAAACCTCCTAGCAACACTAGGAAACATCAAAGCAACACTAGCAAACATCATAGCAACACCAGGAAACATGCTAGCAACAATAGCAAACATCAAAGCAACACCAGGAAACATCCCAGCAACATCAGGAAACATCCTAGCAACACCAGGAAATATCACAGCAACACCAGAAGATATCAAAGCAACACTAGCAAACATCAGTGCAACATCAGGAAACATCAATGCAACACCAGGAAACATCAAAGCAACACCAGGAAACATCCTAGCAACACTAGAAAACATCAAAGCAACACTAGCAACATCAATGCAACGCCAGGAAACATCCTAGCAACACTAGCAACATCAATGCAACACCAGGAAACATCCTAGCAACACTAGGAAACATCAAAGCAACACTAGGAAACATCAAAGCAACTCCAGGAAACATCCTAGCAACACTAGCAAACATAAATGCAACACCAGGAAACATGCTAGCAACACTAGCGAACATCAAAGCAACACCAGGAAACATCCCAGCAACATCAGGAAATATCAAAGCAACACTAGCAAACATCAGTGCAACATCAGGAAACATCAATGCAACACCCGGAAACATCAAAGCAACACCAGGAAACACCCTAGAAACACCAGGAAACATTTTAGGAAACAACACCAGGAAACACCCTAGAAACACCAGGAAACATTCTAGGAAACAACACTAGGAAACATCAAAGCAACAACAAGAAACATCCTAGGAAACAACATTAGCAAACATCAAAATAACACTAGGAAACATCCTAGCAACACCGGGAAATATCCTAGCAACACTAGCAAACATCAAAGCAACACCAGGAAACATGTTTTGTTTTCTTTAACCCTCTTATGACCATAATTATAACTGGGCCGCCTGTTTGTTTGTTTTATAGCTGTAAACTTGAAATAAAAAGAGCAGAATGTTTGTAACTCTGACTTGCTGACTGAGGCCCTGCCTGTGACCACAGGTAGGTAAATGCTCCGGTTCAGAGAACGGCATGAAGGAAAATAAAGAATAGGTAACATAAAAAAACACTCATACATCACAACTGTAGCTACATTTTTACCAGCATTATAAATGTCAATAAGCCAGATAAAAGGTAATAATGAAATGGGAAAGCAAAACTTTTCATGACAAAAAGTCAACTAATAAAATACTGCACTAATATAAAAATCCATTTTCAGTTCAATAAATATTTATTGCAAATATAAATAATGCTGGAATGAAGCTGAATCTTACAATTAGTAAATAGTCGAGTGTTGTTCGAAAGGAAAACAAGTTTGATTGTACAAACATTTGACATCACCTGGTTAGCAGGTATCTGTCCCTCCTTGTGGTCACTATCTACAGAAATAGTTTTCCGGGGTACTCAATCAACCGGGAGGATTTTCTTTGAGGCATTTCCATAGTTTTAGAAAAGCTACTGATGCTAATAATCTCCTCCGTTTCGTTCTCCGTTTTTCCCCGTCGCAGTTTGTTCCGTTTCCTTCTGTGATACCGAAATGCTGATTTCCCTCGAATAGCGATTTTGGGAGCAACATGGATTAGATCATGCAGAACCTCACTGGAAAGCTAGTGTTATGTACATTTAGAAACTGTTGGAATGATTTTAATTCGATTAGCCATAAAACAGTTATGATGCGGAGAATCTAGGGTGAAAAATATCGAACACTGGTGATTCTTTGTTGTGACTCGAGCACGAGCTCCTACGGGGGAATCCCTGAGATTACCGTAATGTATCGTTATGCACAGTAAGCCCTATTTCTAAGCCTTTTCAGTACTTTTGGAATGTTGCAGGTATCTCAAACAATTCAGGAATTACGGTAATGAGAAGTGTGCATGTCAAATCCTTTCGCCGGCAACAGGTTGGTAATAAGAGAGCTAATTAGAATCTTTTTTATTTAATTGGCCAACAATGTGAAGAACTGAGAATGTGTGCAGGTAGTCATGGTAACCAGATGTCTCAGTGAGGAGACAGACGTACTGCGGAAGAGGGGGAGGTGAGAGTTATTGTGAGCCTCTCTGTAGGCCATGAGATTGATCTCGTTCTGCCGGCGCTGTAGTTGGAAACGCTGCTTGGCCCGCCAGTGCTGACACAGACAGAAACACGTCAGGATGATGATCAGGGCCCACAGCAGCCAGAACCCTACACACAGCCCACAGGAAATCAACATAAACATGTCATCCATCATAAAAATTATATAAAAACAGAAAATCAACATCCGCATAATTCAATTCTTAAAAAAAAACACAAAATGTTATAAAAGTCCTAAAATGTTATCAGAACAAGTGTGTACAGTTAGTGTTTTAACACTGGGTGCTCTTGTGGGTGTAGCTTTGATGTTCAGGGCTTTATGTGGTGGTGGTGGTGGTGGTGGGGGGGGGGGGGGGGGGGGCTACTTCACAGATCAGTTAGTGAAGACCATGAACAAAAATAAAGCACATAACATGAATGTGGGGATTAAAAGTTTTTTATGTTTACTTGGATTAAGACAGGATGCAGATCTCTGGACATGATGAAAGGCGCTACGCTGACAGCTCAAATCTGCATTCACTATGATCCCCACACACCTAGTGCTGGTTCTGAGCACGCACCTGGTCTAAAACAATAACCAGGTGAGTGTACTGTACACATTATGATCCTCAACTCAAAAGCACCAAAGCAGATGTTTTTGAGTATGCTTTATCTGCTGTAACACATAAAGAGCCAAGATGACAGAATAAATTAGACACAGATTAAAGGGGAGATCCTTCATTTTGGATCTGGGGAGAGGTCTTACCTCAAGAGGAGGTGTTTAGGCATCTTAATGTCTTTGTCTACTGTGAGACAGAGGGAGATCGACAGGTGGATGACACCAGAAAAAGAAGCTCTCAATCCATCTGTCAATCTCAGACTCCATCCTCACCCATAGTCTGATAGTCAGCCTTAGAGGTAGGTTGAGGAGGTTGGACATCCGGGACAGACATGGAGTAGAGCCACTATTGCTCCGTTAGGAAAGGAGCCAGCTGAGGTGATTCAGGCATTTGGTCAGGACAACTCCCAGGGGAGGTGTTTCAGGGATGCCCTGCATGCAGGTCAGCCCCGGGGAGGGAGGGGAGTTGGGAGTGGACAGTCTGGCTTCCTGCTAGCACTGTTGCCTTCACTGTCCTAATGCACGGAAGGACTAAAGGTAAAGAAATGCTAAACTCACACCACACTTCATAGATGAAGCTGCAGCACTGAGAATCTTCACAGCAGCGGTGGCCCGACTGGCAGAAGTAGGTCTGGTTGCTTCCTCCCTGGCACACCAAGGTGGTCTGTTATTACAGACAGAAAATAAACAACTCAGAGGTGTTATTCACACGGTACAGATTTAATGTGTGGCATCATTACAGCGTTTTTACTTTACATCACAGCCCAGAACACACGTTATATTATTGTTTTCACTACATCCAGGACATCACGGCGCGCAGGTCGAATAACAGCTGACCCGTGTCACCCTGGAAACCGGGTGGAGGCTCAGATCCACTCGGACCAGAACCTCTCACCACAAGAACAGTTTCTTCCCCTCTGCTGTTGGACTCATGAATGACAATCATAGGGCTGCCCATTCCAGTCGCTTGGTTTCAGTCACATGTTCACAGCTGCAATTGGCCCTCGGTGCTGACATGACTAAGCTAATGTTGTTTTCAAAAGATGCCCTCAGTGACCCCTCCTGAGGGAAATATCCCAGAGGTGGTCCACACATACAAATACCTTGGTTTGTGTGCAAAATAAACGACTAGTTACTGCAATATGTCTGTCTATTCTGGATTATGGAGACCTTTTGTGTGTGAATGCCTCAGTACAGTGTCTCAGTAAGATTGATGTGGTTATCATGCCTCACTGAGGTTTATTACTAACGGTAGACCACTGACCCATCATTGTGGATTGTTTTCTCCAGTGGGATGGTCTTGTTCATCCACCAGGAGGTTGGGACATTGGTGCAGAAGGCCATGCTTGGATTACTACCCATCTACATCTGTAAATTAATCTCAAGGAGAAGTGTGACTTCTGGCAGCTACTGGCAGGTTCGATCCCGGCTCTGGACAGTAGGGCTGTAGTCGACCAAAGTCCAGTCCTGCGCAATGATTAGTCGACTGAAAAAATAAACAAATAAAGACTACGTTTTGCATTAAGATTGAACTTTTATTAAACAATTGTCATTTATCATTTATAAAACAAAAATTGAAAAAAAAAGATCAATAATAAATCAATAAAACTATAACATTAATACAAATCTTAATACAAATTAAGTGATTTTTTAAGCGCAAGGTGAGGAGAGCTGTCCTAGGTCTAGCAGCAGTCAATCACACACCTGGCCACACACACATGCTACAAAAAATATAACTGCCAAATAGAAATGAAAAATCCTAACAGAAGCTCTTGTTTATACAGGCTTTTGTTCTAAAAGAAACACAAAAAAATCAAATAGCCAAAAAATATTCCTAATAATAGCAGGCTGTAAAATAGGGGAGCCTACAGATTTATTTTTGTTTTGTTATATTATTAATTTGTTATTTAGGCTATTTTCAAACAAAACATAAAGAACAATCTATAAATGGGCCCGTTAAGGTCCGTTGCAGCTCTGCAAACCTATTTTACCTTTTTAATGTCGTGGGCCAAAAACACCAACATGTCCACATTCTTGGGTAAAAGACAGCTCCTCGACTTAACAATAAATCCGGCTTTGGAGAATATGAGCTCTGCAGGAATGGAGGTTGCAGGGACGCCGTGGAGATCGTTCCTCATTATTTTTCCACCACACAAGTGGCCCCACAACAGTGTCCACTTTACTTCTGTCCTGAAGATAATCTTTCATTTCGTTGCGAGGATCTCTGTGCGCTCGGCTCATCGGGGTCATCCTCTGCACCGTGTCCACGAAGAAGCATCGCTATAGTATCTCCTTCTCTTTTGCCGTTTTGTTTTTTTGCCAGCGGGTTCTCATCTTCACCGGTCTGCTCTGTGCTGTCTCCTGGGAGGCTTAGCCTCTGTGCAAGTTGTGCGACTTCAGAGTAGGCCTCGTCCCGTTTCTCGCCATTAAGAAAAGGCAGCTGTTTGAAGTGCGGGTCCAGTACTGCAGTTAAAATGTACAGGCTGCTCGTCATCACAACTCGGTCTTTGAGTTTCCATCGACTATCTATTTCCTGCACAAGTTTAAGTTTCATCTTCTTCTTTGTTGGACTATCATTATCTGTGACCACAAGATGACATTTTTTTTTATTCTTAAGCAGTGGGAAGGTCGCAGACAGGGATGTGTTAGTCTCCTCCGACAACAGCTCGGTCAGAGCTTAAGAACGTCTGTGATGTCTTCGGCCACATTCCACTGCTCTGTTGTCATGTCCAAAGTGCTGCTGTCACTCCTCTTGCTGTAATTGGGGTCCGATAAAATGGCGGTGATGGGCCAGCGCTGTTCCAACAGTCGCTCCAACATAACGCAGGTGGAGTTCCACCGGGTGGCCACATCCTGGATGAGTTTGAGCTCAGGAGCTTTTTGCTGCACCTGTTTCTCTTTCAGACCCGTTTTTGCTTGGTGTCGTTTTTTGAAGTGCCCAACAAGACGACGCGCCGCAGCGACTGTGCGCGCCACCGGCTCTTCTTTTAGGGCAGCATTTACGCACAGCTGCAGGATGTGGCCTGCACACCTGACCAACTCACCTGTCTCGTCACTTACCGGATCCTTTCAGTAATTCCACCGAGAGGACCATGTTGGCAGCCTTGTTCGCTACCACTGACACCCGCAACGCTGGTGGAATGTGGTAAGCATCCGCGGCTTGAGTGAGGCGCGCAGCAACGTTTTCCCCAGTGCGCTTCATCCATCTGTTTTGTTTCTAACACAATGCTATTCATTTTCCAGTCTGCGTCGATAAAATGGACCGTAACTGTCATGTATGCCTCCATTCTAAGCGAAGACCACAAATCAGTTGTGAGGCTTACAGCCTCGGAGGATTGGAGAAACTGATTTTAATTTAAGTCCATCAAACCGCGAACGCAGCATCCCGTGCTGGCACAGTGTATCTTGGCTCGACGATTTTAAACACTTCCTTGAAGCCTTTTCCTTCCACTGTGTTGACTGGCCTCATATCTTGGGCGATGTAATGCACAATCCCTTTAAGGATATCCTCCTTTCTTTTTGCCGACAGAGGATGGACCAACTCCAGTTGCGTCTGAGTGCTTCCTGGCGCCTGCGCCATGGCCTGGGGATGTGCCTAGTACATAAAGAGTGAAATATATAAGCTTTAGGCATAGCCTAAGACATGACAGGCTCTCTGGCACATGTATATTTCGCTTACCGCTTTTAGGTGATGGGCCATATTGGTTGTTGAGCTGTGGTAAGCTAGCTTTCGACCACATAGCTTGCACTCCACAGTCTTGTCGTCTTTTTTTTTGTAAAATGCATCCAGACAAAAGATTTGGATTTCTTCGACATCTTGTGGACTACACCCAAAACAAGTAGCGTTCCAACCGAATGAATACAGCAAAACTACATATTCCTTGCTCAGCACGAAGCAGCATCCATGTGTTGTGATGCGCAGCCAGTCACACGTGCGGTGGGGCTCCAGAATGTTCTTTGTGGTGTGCTAACCTGTGGCGCTGTTACAAACAGCTTAAATTAAAGCATTTAAAGTTGGGGATAAAACATACACTTATTACATTTAGAATCCAGTAATACTTTACTGCTTATCAAGGAATAAATAAACGAAAATATCATTAATGAAAAAAATGATTATGCAACTGGTCGACCTATGAGAATGTCAGTCGACCAAGATGGCATCAACTGATTAGTCGACTAAACAACTAAAGTTGACAGCCCTAGTCCTTGGGCAAGACACTTAACCCACCTTGCCTGCTGGTGGTGGTCAGAGGGACCGGTGGCGCCAGTGCTCGGCAGCCTCACCTCTGTCAGTGCGCCCCAGGGCAGCTGTGGCTACATCGTAGCTCATCACCATCAGTGTGTGAATGGATGAATGATGCACTGTAGTGTAAAGCGCTTTGGAGTCCTTACTCTGAGAGGCGATATACAAGTGCGGGTCAGTCTGTGTGCAAACCATCAGCTGTTACTTTGTGTTCTGTTTGTTCGCACCGAACTGGGCAAAAGGGCTTTCGTTCACTCTGCTCCTTCTGCATGGAGCAGGCTGCAGGAAAACTGGAAATTAACCGAGTTTATCTCCTTGAATACATTTAAAATCAGACTTTGAGCCCTTGAGATGGACTCCCTGTGTTGTAACTACCTTCTATAGTTTAGTACATAACATGTCTGTAACTGAAACATTTGAAACTGTAACATTTGCTGCCTCTTGGCCAGGACTCCCTTGAAAAAGAGGATTGTAACCTCAGTGGGACCTTCCTGGATAAATAAAGAATAAATAAAATAATCATGACCCGGTGTTGTTTGTACCTTAACTGGTCCGCTCCGATTAGTACCTACATTATATAGTAACCGTATAGTAACGAGTATTGCCACTTTATATTATTATTTTATCATGAGTATATTTTTACTTTCTATATTTGCATATCTATCTTTCGTTTTGCACCAAATACCGCAGCTAATGTTGTGATTTCTCGCACGTATGACTATGAAAACTCTCCTGAAATAATTAAATGTTTTAATAAGTTGATTTCTGCTGAAACCACGGCTGGCCTTAAATAAAATTTAGATTTAAACTAGATGAGAAAGGGAAACTTAACTGTATCAGAGCTAAGCTAGGCTAAGCTAAAACATGCTAAGCTAGCCGTTACCTCTGACGTTGGTGCCGCCGAAGGAGGACTCTCTAATCCAGAGTTTAGCATCATGTCCACTAATAATCAGACATTCGTGGGTTTCAGCCGCTGAATTGAAACTTTCCGTCACATGTTAACAAAACAAAATAAAACAAGTGCAACTCTTCTTCTAGTTTAAGGTGATTGACGTGCGTGAGGCCTGAAGGTTCATTGGCGCCACCTGTTGGTCTGGAGTACGTCGTCTTACATCACACCTAAAACTCGGGGGTCCCATTTTTGCAGCCTAATGAACTAGATCAAATTAAAAATGTATGTAGTCTGGCTTGCCAGGATACCATTTTTGTTGACCTTTTTAAACTTCCGTTTTAAGGATGGTGGTGATGTGAAAATCTATAGTCTTTCCAATATGCTGCTTGAATGAAATGACCAAACCTCAACCCTGCAAGATGATTATTTTAACATATTAATCATTATGCCGAAGGTAAAAAAAAAAAAAAAAAAAAAAAAAAAAAAACACTACAACAACAAAAACATCTAATTACTGCACTGTGTTAAATAAGAAAAAAGAAAATTAATAATAACAATTGTTTACCAGTCTCAATGCAACCAGTAAATCTATCATTCCATCCACAGGGCTGCCAACTCTCATGCAGTGAGCATGAGACACACTCGTCTGATCCTCTTCACACGCTCTCACGCCACACCTCCAATATCACCTGTAAGTTGCTTTGGACAAGAGTGTCTGCTAAATACATGAACATAAACATATCTCACGCTGAAGAATCCACACTGTCCCTGCTCTCCTGCATGTAAACGATCTAAGTTTGTCAGCCCTGCATCCATCCATCCATCCATCCAGCCATCCCTCTATTTCTATTCAAGAGGTAATGTGGAGTCAGAGTCCTGCCTAGGTACATTGACAAGTGGAATCAAACTAACAACCTCTCGGGTGAAGGGTTGCTCTCCTGATCACAACTCCAAAACTCCTGAAATAATGGGAATCTAGGAAAAAGAAGGTGTTAGTTTTGATCACCAGGACATATAAATGAGAATAGTCCTGGACTGCATTATTAAGCTGTACAGCACAGTCAGAGCAAACCTAAAGAGAGGCATGTGGGAGGCCAAGGCATCCAGCACGTTAGCTACAGCTCCAACACCGTGGGGCATGCTTCTGATGAGCGGTCAGGTCCGCCATGACCAGAATTCCTGATAAACGTCCCTCATATCCTGTTCCCAGTATGCAGCAGATCCCCCCCCCCCCCCAACTAAAATAGATCATTATTTTTCATTTATATTACAACATCTTTATTTTACTAATGTCATGTTTCCTGTTTCTTTTTTAACTTGTGTACAAACACTGAGTCTGAGGCACCTTCTAATTTTGCTGTGCTTTATAAAAAGTCACAACACCAAAGACATGATTAAATTTAATTGCATGTCTTTGTTGGTTTGTAATATCAGTTATATTGAACCTGCTGTTAGAATTAGGACATATAAATCAATGAGATAAAACATAAAGCAAAGCCGGGAAATGCAACCATTATTCTGCCATTAAGAAACTTTTATACCCATAATGTCTTTTTTTTTATTTGAGAACTAGCAGCTCTTCCACGTTCGTCCATCTATGTCGGCGTGTCGTTGTTTTCATCAGAGCTGGAGCCTTTGAACCTTTCAGACCAGTTTGAGGGAACAAAAGCAAACAAATCACATTGTCCTGTCGGAATTTGGGCTTGTTCACTGTCTTTCATGACCTCCTCTTTAGGCACCTTTTGCCTTTCTTCATTCATGGTCCTCCAAGAAAGTCAATGGTTCCTTACATTCTAGTTTTACAAACCAGGAGGATACATGCTAATCCCCTTAATCTGGCCTTTCTCCTGCATGCAGCCACAGGGAGAGAGGGACCACAAAGAGTAATCCTGTCAGAAAAACAATAGGATTAAGAGCCCAACCCCACAAGTGACAATCAGGTATCCACTGACTGATCTGCCAAGCAGGAGCCCGCTCTGCAAAGCCCCAGTCACTCTGTCTTCAATGTGACTTTATTTTTGTTTGATGGGCCTGAGAGGAATGAGGCTGAGGTAGGGGCTGTGACAGCAAGATTTCTTTGAGACTGCTGGAGGTCTGACAAGCCTGAGGTCCTCTAAGCTCCAGGGACCAAGGAATGACTGACATGTGGGGAGTACCACCAAGACGGGGGTTCGCCAAATAATGGTGAGAATCTGCGTCCACTTCTTCAGGAATTCTGCAACAGATGTGAGCGATCGTAGGAAACAGCCAGGTGGGAACGTGCCCGAGAGAGCTCTATAATTAATCTGATGCATTTATAATACCAACCTCCTTCGACTGAGAATAAATTCACACATTTTCAGAAACACCTGTTTTTGTAGGATATAACAAGTGCTTGGACGAAGAGCACGATCCTAATAAAACGGAATGTAAGGTAAAAGATGCCGGACAGCAACAATTAAAATAATAATGATAAAAGGACCTTTGCAAAAAAGCAAAAAAGTGTAGATGCCAGCGGCTCTTCCAGATGAGGTCATCACCACCAGATGGCCTCATTGACACAAACATGATCTCAGCTGGACCCACAAACTGATGCCCACCAACAACAGAATCAAGCTTTGATTTGTAGACCACAGGAACACGTCAGAACATCTGAGGGGGTTCTAGGATGGGACCTTTACAGGAACCTGGCCACCCAACTGACCAAAGGATTTATGATGTGCTCCCTATGGTGCTCCTAAACAAGGCATTTCTGTGGATCTGACTGATGGAACCTGTTCAGAGATCCGTGAATGTCGACTCATTTACACTTCAGAATTTACCTCGTCACTAAATGGAGCTGAACCAGTAAAAAGTTCCTAAGATTAAAGCACACAAACCTCATGAACTATGTAGAATTATGATGCAAAACTGATGAGAAAGAAAACATCTCAATGCTGAACAATAGCAGGTCTAATGATCAGGATGAAGACTCATAAAGTATCAAGATCACAAAATAAAATCTGAGAAAAAAAACAAATGAATGGTTTTCTGGTAGAACATGGATCATGAATCTTCAGACTCTAAGAGCAGCTGCATGGACCGCCAGCTGTATTCTGAACCATCATGGCGTTCTTCAACACACAAACCCATTAGACCAGAGAAGAAGACATCCACTCTACTGCGACAAGGAGAACACAATTGTAGGAGGGGATCCAGTCCATCACCACCTTCAGGACAGATGGAAGAGCACTGATCCTAGACCCCATCTTAGGAAACCTAATACTTCCTAATGACCCCACAGGTGGAACAGACATAAGTCCAGAGATGTCCTCAGAGTGGTGAAGACTTCTGGATCACAGTTCAGCCTTCAGATTAATGAAGCTGGCCTTCAGACAGGTGGTAAAGCTGGGAAGTGGTCTCTGAGCTAACAGGGAACAAGAATCCCACAGGGCTCCTGCCTCGGCCCCTAACACTTCTCCCTCTACACACAAACTTTGTCTCAGAATCTCAGAGGAAAAGTAGTCTTGTTCATTCACATTCATTTTATTTAAAAAGCGACTTCCCAGCACCATTGATTGGGGGTGCAAAGAAGCAGCAAAATAAAACAGCTCTATAATAAAATACAGAGATAAAAACATTTAAAAACAACAACAAAAAATGAGCTAAAAGCAACAAAAATATTGATCAAAAACATTAAAATGTGAATAGAAAGAATTAAGAAACAAATCTAAAATACAGCTTAAGCCTTGCTTTAAGAGTGGGCAGCGATATGGACGGTTTGATTTCTTGTGGGAGTTTGTTCCAAAGCCGAGGACCCAGAACTGCAAAGCCACTGTCATCCCTAGACTTGATGTTTGTGTTTATTTATTTGGCAGATGCTTTTATCCAAAGCGACTTACAATTCATAACCTATAGGGCATGTTGTGATCTGTGGGGGAAACCGGAGTACCCGGAGGAAACCCACGCATGCATGGGGAGAACACGCAACTCCACGCAGAAAGGCCACAGCCGAGTTTCAAACTTGCAACTTTCATGCTGCGAGGCAACAGTGCTAACAACTGTGCCACCATGCAGCCATTGATGCCCGAATGTTGTTCCTAACATCAGACACTGGTCCTCCATGTTGGTATCCACCATATAGATCAGGAGAGGGGCAGTTTCAGGAGTTCTGGTCTGCTTCCTACTCGTCCAGCTGCTTCTTTAGGTGTTGCTATGATCAACCATTAAGAGGTCTGCCTATAGGTTCATCATCCATTTTTGTCTGACGTTCCCTAATCCCAGCCTCTAATCCCATTCCAGCAGCTGTTTTCCTGGTTGAGACTGCAGGTGTTCTGTGGCAGTGAGTGAATCCTCACATTAAGGAGGTTAAATCATCAGACTGGAGGCTCAGAGCATGTAAACACAAGGTGTTTCCACAGGGATGCTATAGATTTGTTAAGGGTTAACGTTCCTTAATCCCTTCAAAGGCTTTGTCACAATCTAGACAGCCTCTTCAAAGTGTTGGGAAGGGAACGCCGTGATGTTTCCTTCACTCGGAGTCGTATAGACAGCATGATGGTTTGTGTGATCTGCGCGGTTTCACTTACACCCCTTTAATGATCAGGCTGTTTTTATTATTTTTATCAGCTGATAGCAGTTAAAATTATGCTAAAAAAAACTTTTATCTGTTTTTGATAACTTAATGCCCAGGAAGAGCATCTTCTCTAGGCATTAAATATAACCCAAATGTTTTATTATGAGCAGATCTGATGAAGGTGTAGACAAGCAGTCTGCAAAGTAAAACTTGTTTAGAGTCCAAACTCTTACTAAAGCTTTTGAAAAGAAAAAATTGTTGAATTTTGAGAAATATCCACAGCAGGGGAGCGAGACCTCTGAAAAATGTATATTTTCTCTGAATTCATAGAATAATGTGAAGATTCTGGGAAAAGTTGGGATTCCGAGATTAAAACGTAAATCTATCTAAACATAATTCTGGCAGTTTTTGTGTCCTTCTGCTGTGGAAAGTCGTGCAACATGAAGATACTGAGAAGATGCTTTAAAACCTGTATTTTTATTCCATCCATAAATAAAATCATGAGCTGTTTTTTTAATCCAAATTTGATCCAAAGGGCCATCGTCGGTTCCAGACCCGTTCTGGAACATTCCTCTAATCTTAAAGTCATCATCAGTTTCTTCCTTTTAACAAATATTTATTTGTTAAAATACTTAATATTTAAAATTGTAATATTTGTTCCTCCCTCTCCCACTGCAGTTAGTCCTGTCCTGCAACCCTGTTTTTGCAGCTTGGTGAAGCCAACCATCACTGACCTGGGGGTGGTTTTGGACCCAGAGATGCGGCTGGACTCCCACATTAGCCAGCCTGTGATCTGCACACAGTGATACATGCATTTGTGACCTCTCGCTTGGATTATGCGAATTCCCTTTTTTATGGATCCACATCTTCCTCAGTTGCGCGCCTACAGCTGGTGCAGAATGCGGCGGCCCGCCGTTTGACGGACACCAGGAGGGAGCACATTACTCCTGTTCTGACCCAGCTGCACTGGCTCCCGGTGCGCCACCATGTCCAGTTTAAAATTTTACTTCTTGTTTTTAAGTCATTCTATCTTTATGCGCCTCTCTACTTGACTTAGCTGGTTCAGCCCTACATACCTGGTTACGTACATACGTACGCACCACCTGTTACAGGTCCCACGTGTTTGGGTGAGGACACGAGGAGAACAAGCGTTCTCAATCTGTGCGCCTCGTCTCTGGAACCAACTCCCCCTAGCAGTGAGAATGGCCCCCTCTCGCAATGACTCACAGTGATGCAGGGGACTGTTCTGTTCTGGTCCTGCTGGACCTGACTGCAGCCTTTGACACTGTTGACCATCACCTGCTCTGGAGAGGCTGAGAGACTGGGTAGGCCTATCAGGAACTGCTCTGGAGTGGTTCTCCTCTTTTCTTTCTGAGCGTTCCTTTTCTGTGGCCGTCTCCAAGTTTAGGTCCACCATCACCTCCCTCACCCATGGTGTCCCACAAGGTTCTGTGCTGGGGCCTCTGCTCTTCCTCCTCTATCTGCTTCCTCTCAGCACATCCTGAGCTCCTTCAAAGGAATCTCCCACCATCTTCTTGGAGATGACATCCAAGCTAGCGGTCTCCTTTGTTTTTCAGGTCTGTATTGGCGATTTTAAAATGGACAGAACATAAAACACAAACCTTTTGGAGCCATGTTGTAGTTTTCTCCTGCTTGTTGTTGTGTTTACTGCTGAACATGCTCTGTCAGTGACAGCTGCTCCCCTGCTGCTTCGCGTCTCGTGGGAAGGGCCGAGCAGCAGCTTACGCGAGCAAGACGTGCTGCTGCAGTAACGTGCTGCTGACGGCTCCGGTGGAAAGAAGGAGTAAGCTGCAGCTTTTACACACCTGCTTAGACTCTATCAAAACCTGGATGGTGGGAGCTTTCTACAGCTGAACGAAGATAAGACTGAGATCCTCATCTGTGCTCCAGACAAGCTGGTTCCCAAAGTCAGAGACTCTCTTGGTCAGCTTGCTTCTCACACCAAACCTTCTGTCAGGAATCTTGGCGTGACCTTTGACCCAGCTCTCACCCTGGATTCTCATGTCAGTTCTCTTGTTGGCTCTTCCTTCTTCCATCTCAGGAACATTGCTGAGTCCCATTCTGTCCCGCTCTGAACTTGAGACAGTTATCCACACCTTCATCTCCTCACGCTTAGACTACTGTAACTCTCTTTTCACGTGTCTGAGCAGAACCTCCCTGAACCGTCTACAGGTGGTTCAGAATGCCTGTGCTCGGCTTCTGACCAAGTCCTCAAAACACACCCACATCACCCCGCTTCTCCTCCAGCTTCACTGGCTGCCAGTCAACTTCAGGGTTCATTTCAAGATCCTGGTTCTGGTCTATAGGGCCTTACATGGACAAGCACCATCTTACATTGGTGATCTTCTTAGTCCCTACACCCCCAGCAGGTCCCTGAGGTCCAGTGATCAAAGCCTACTGGTTGTGCAGCACCAGGCTAAAGACCAAAGGTGACAGATCATTTGCTGCTGTGGACCCCAGACTCTGGAACTCTCCCCCCCTGAGCCTGAGATCAGTGGACTCAGTGGTCTCCTTTAAAGAGCAGCTGAAGACTCACTTGTTCAGGCTTTTGTATGACCTTCTTCACCACTCTCTCTTTATTCTGCTCTCCCCACCTATTCCACCTTCCTCAGGATCCACTGATTTCCCTCTTTCCTATTCACTCTCTCTCTCTAACATTTATTTTAAATCACAATCGTCTATTTTTGCTCATTTTAAATGTATTTTTAAACATTTTCTAAATGCTTTTTTATACTTTTACATTTTTTGTTTTTGTGAAGCGCCTCGTGATTTTTATCCTGAGAGGCCCTATAGAAATGATATTTTCTTCTTCTCTGATTTTAAATCACACCTGAAGGCTCATTTTTATTCCTTGGCTTTTGCTTCAGACTAGCTGGCATTTTACAGTGTTTTTGTTTTATTTTTATTGTTTTTATAGTAGTTACTGTACTACTTGTATTACTTCTTCCAGGGGGTTGATTTTATGCTTTTACCGTGCAGCACTTTGGTCGGCCTCGGCCGTGTAGAAATGTGCTTTATAAATAAAATGGAATGGAATTTACATTTTATCCTTAATGTTGACTGAACTTATTGCTGTCAGGGAATGATGTGGTTAGGTTAGGACCACCAAACACAGCAACAGGCAGGTGAACATCTTTGGTGTGTTCTTACTGTGTTTAGTTTTTAACCCTTTGATGCATGAATTATGAAATCTTCAACCATGATTTTTTTAGTAATTTTTCTCATTCATCTTTAGGTGTGAATGAAACAAATTTCAACAAATATTTTTTGTAACATTTAATCATTTACAAATAATTTATTACATGTCCACCTCAGTGGACAGCGTGCATTCTGAACATGAAATATGTTGGCTTGACTTACTGAAGTCCAAATGGAGGGGCTCAAATGCAATAAAGTCTTCAACAGCTGTGCCTAATAGCAAAAATAAATAAATAACAATTTTGAGTACCTGTCCACTGTAGTGACCATTATGCATCAAAGGGCTAATTCCATTTTTGGTTCATTTTAAAACACAGGAAAGGTTTTTCTTTACCTTGCTGACGTATGTTTCATTTGCCGACTGAAAAACATCCTCATGGAGTTTACTCATTGGATCGTGCATGGGACTGCATCATAGGAGAGGGGAGATCGGGCAGCAGAGGGCGACAACGTCCTCTGCTGCCCGCGGATAAATGGAGTAGGAAGTGATGCCACCATCAGCATCAGCTCTGAGGATGTTTTGCAGTCGGCAAACGAAACGTACGTCAGCAAGGTAAAGAAAAACCTTTCTTGTGTTTTAAAATGAACCAAAAAAATGGAGGCAGGTGAACAGATGATCCTAGAGGCAGCCAGGTGTGGAACATCCATCTGTCCATCGTCTGAACCCGCTTGTCCACGTAGGGTCGCGGGGGGGCTGGTGCCTACCTCCAGCGGTCAATGGGCAATCAGGCGGGGTACACCCTGGACAGAGAGCCAGTCCATCGCAGCAGGTGTGGAACACAATGGCTTTATTACCAAAATGCTGGTGCTGAAGCAAACAGGCAGCTACATGGGCAACGAGTGAGGGACTACGCTGAATGTGAGGACTGGGAGGTGACGAGGGAACAGGTGTGACCACTAATGATTAGCTGCAGGTGTGATTAAAGAAAGAAAAGAAAGCAGGTGCTCTCTCATCCCATAATGATCAGCTGGTTTATAAAATCTATTATTACTGCTCCATATAATGAGAAAAATGTGCTTTAATAAACAGAAGCTCAGGAGGTGGAGCGGGTTGTCCAGTAATCGAAAGGTTGCAGGTTCAATCCTGGCTCCGGACAGAGAATTCTGTCATTGTGTCCTTGGGCAAGACACTTAACCCACTTATCCTGCTGGTGGTGGTCGGAGGGACCGATGACGCCAGTGCTCGGCAGCTTCGCCTCTGTCAGTGCGCCCCTGGGTTACATCATAGCTCCCCGCCAGTGTGTGAATGTGTGTGAATGGATGAATGTGCGGTGACTGTAGTGTAAAGCGCTTTGGAGTCCTCTGACTCTGCAAAGCGCTTTACAAGTGCGGGTCATTCATTCAATCAACTATTAGAAGTTTATAGTAAATAGAGTTTCTTCAAACGAAAAGCTGAACTCAACAGAGACGAGGCTTTACTGTGAAAGTAGATGACTTTATTAAACGAATCCATCAGAAGAGTTGGAGTTTGCGTGTCGTCAGCTGGACGTGGTGTTCTGTCGGAAGTCCAGCGAATGCAGAGCAGAAGCCAGAGCTGCATAGAGGTGAGAGCTGCTGAGCCGGAGGCAGTACACCGGGCTGCTCGCAGCATCACGGCTAAGCTGGAAAACCTGGAAAGAATCATCTCAGGTCAGATCTCTGACGTTTATGTGCAGTATGTTCATGGTTCCATCAGTGACCGCAAGTGGTCCTGAAGCAGCAGAGCAGCCCCAGACCATGACACCACCACCACCACCACCACCACCATATCTACCTGTTGTTATGTTACAGAGGAACTCTGAGAAGGGAGAACTGTTCTACAGCTGGATGTCAGATCATCTCTACGTACCTGCAAGCATTTAGTCTGGCGTTTGTCCCACAGACGGACGACTCCGTACAGAGACGAGCCGCTGGCGATCATGTTGTTTCCGTCGGTCTGGATGCAGTAGAGTGTGCTGTCATGAGGCTCCTCCCACTCCATCACACATCTCCTGTTAGCGATCAGATCATAAACATGTGAGCGCGATGCCCCAGCAGGCATTAATCTTACATTAGACTCATCAATAAGTGATGGGATATAGCAGCCATCAGCTGACCTCCGGTCGAGGTGTGGCGGGGAGGGTGTGTGTGTGTGTGTGTGTGTGTGTGGGTTAACGTTTGCCATGTCTTGTAGAAATGTATCTTTTCAATTTGTGGGACTGCATCACAAAGATTTTGGCTGGTCCAGGTCCTCCTGGTCTCAGAGGCAGAAGCCCACCCTCAGGAACCTCCTCTAGCTCAGCTGTCTTTTCTGTGGGAGAGCAGTGGCTGTACTCTGAGTTCCTGAACGTCTTCCGTCTGAGTTCCATCTTCATCCTTGATGCTCCTGTGGATCAAGACCCTGAGGTAGAGCCTCTCTCCCAACCTTGTGTTTGAAATTCACCTTATCTGGTCGAGAACCACGGCCTTGGAGGTGGAGGTGAAGATCTAAGAATCCTTTTGGATAGGAGATGAAAAATACTCAAGAAACAACAGGAGAGGTCTGGTTGGGTCCTAGAAGCTGCACCAACATCAACACCCATTCAGCTTCGTTTAACTTCTTTGAGTTTGAACCTTCACACACCTTCAGGATCCCTGCCAGTTTCTTTCAGGCCGTTTGAGTAAAATATGGACGACTTTATTTAAAAAGCACAAAGCGCTTCATAACTAGAAGATGTTAGAGGAAGCCACCAAGCCCACGGACCTCAGGGTCGGAGGAGGGCAGCTCCAGAGTCTGGGAACCTCAGAAGAAGAGGCTCCTTTGGTTGATCATATAAATTATTGACATCTAAAGAGCGAGCCCATCTGCTGACCTTTCCTCGTCCCAGATCCTTTAAACGTCTCCAGAGGAAAACGCCTCTCAGATCTGATTTGTCTTACTTGACTGATCAGAACCTGAAACCGTCTGAGTCCTGCTGTCCAGAACAAAAGCGTCCTCCTTAGAAACAGTTGGGATGACGATGGAAGTGTGGGTTTGTAATGGTTCTGACGGAACACCGATGGAACGGCGCTGCATCTCAAGACTCAACGAGAACTTTAATCAGAAGAGTTTCTATTGTATTTATTTATAACATAACTGTTTAAAAAACAAATAAATAAATAAACAGAGCTGATTTGATCACCTCTACGTGTTCACTCTTAGCTTTACAACCTATTTACATAAAATTCAGTTTCGCATAATAAACACTTGCTTACAAATGCAGCTTACGTTCAGTATTACGAGGTTAAAATATTAATTTATTATTATTATTATTATTACTGTAATTTATTATTGGTAACATGGTTCAAGGTGAAGACCTGAACTCCCAGAAGCCCGCGCCTCCTTTCTGAACGCTGACAGGGAAAAAGTGATCACCTACTGAGGACTGAGTCGAAGATCCCAGAGTCGAACAAACGTATCGTAGCCGCAGGTGAGGAGCTGGAAGGGCGACTCAAACAGGATGTCCAAAACTCCGGCTCCACGGCGGAAGTCTGAGCCCAGATGGCACAAGCAGGCCGACCTGACGGGGACAGAACAGGAAAACGGGCCAGTCCAGAAGAACGGAAGGATGAAATAAAAACAAATATAAAGTTCAGACATGAAAACCTGATGATTATACATCTACATGCGTGACCCAGAGTGTGCTCACTCATGAGGGTGGCTGGTTCAAAACCCATTCAGGTATTTATGTTAAAGTCTTGCTTTAGTTTTTGAGAGGAACCAAACTCTGGACTGTGTCCGAAACTCTTTGGTCTGGATTTGGTGCGTCCTGATCTCACCTGAGTGCCAGGTAGGTGTGAGAGTTAGGCTAAGGGCGGATTTCTCTGATTTATGTTTTTGGGTTAGGGTTCAAATCAGCTCCGTGCAGAAATGCTGCTCTTTTTGAGTGATTTTATTCACTTGTTGGCGGGTTTTCCTGCCACGCTTTATAATCTAATAACATTTTACCATAAAATAAAAACCTCACAACTCTTTTTTTTAATTTAGAGACATGTTGGTTTGCAGCCTGAGAGCACGTATATGGTCTCTAACCCTAGGGTTAGGGTTCCCTAACCCTCACTAGCAGCATGGTGAAGAATAACTGTCTCTTTGTTACTGTTTAATACCCTCCATGACCGTGACTGTGTGCTACTCTTGCATGTGTGATACCTGCCTCGTAGCAACCATTTAAAGGAGACCACTGGCCTTGGCGACAAGGCAGCACAGTGCTTCGACTCGTGCCCCCTTCCTTTCGCTGGAGCTGTATCTGCCAGCCAGGGCTAGTAATCCTCCAGCCTTACCCCAGGAGACCTTCTTATTGGGTCAGGGCTTTCCCCGCAGGGAGCCCTCTCACTGCCAGGGTCTTAGCACTAAGCCACGGCCAACTGAGATGAGGCTAAGTTTGGGTTTGTGTGGAGTAGGAACCTCCAATACCACACAAGGCCAGAAGCTTAATACACGCCACACAAAAAGAGACTCACCAGCTCAAAAGGGTACAAATCTACTTATTAATAACTTAAAGGATGACAACAATACAAGCACTACAAAAAGAAAGTTAATCTATGGCCATGGCTTCTGAAATCCTCTTATTAAGATAAGCTTGAACTCTGATGGATGAAAAGTTCAAAAACCTACAAACAGCCAGACGTAAGAAGGAAATTAAGCAGACCCAACATATGAGAGACTAAACAGATCCATGGGATTACAGGATGAAGGAAAACAATCTAAACTTTTCAGATATCAGCATCACAATCTGTCATCTGATCAGGCCATTCTCATGAAAGAATGCTACCGAGCATCCGGAGTATTCTCAGCCTTTCCACACATATGTTTATGTTACAGCCTTGCTCCACAACAGATTTAATTCATTCTTCCTCCAAATTCAACACACATGGCCCCATATTGACGATGTGGCGAACGCTTGAGATTTTTGCTAATTTATTAAAAATACAAATCTGAGAAATTATATGTATTTATGGGCTGCGCAGTGGTTAGAGCTGTTGCCTTGCAGCTAGCAGGTCCTGGGTTCGCTTCCCGGCCTGGGATCTTTCTGAATGGAGTTTGCATGTTCTCCCTGTGCATGCGTGGGTTCTCTCCGGGTACTGCGGCTTCCTCCCACAGTCCAAAAACATGACTGTTAGGCCCTGTCCACACGTAGCCGGGGATCTGCCGAAACGTAGATATTTTTATACGTTTTGGCCTGTCATCCACACGAAAACGGAGTTTTTTCTCACGAAAACTGATCTTTTTTAAAAACTCCGGCCAAAGTGAAGATCTGCGTTTTCTCCGTTTTGGGTGTCTGCGTGTGGACAGACAAAACCGGAGTTTTAAAGTCCGCAACGTCACTTTCCACGACAAAAAATGCTGACATTACATGTGCGACCTGTGTTTACACTAGCCGGCATCATGGAAGCCTTCAGAGCTGCGCTCTGTCACTACCCGATCCATTAATTGTCCAAGCGCTTTTTGCTTGTTTGTTTTTGCAAGCGGAATTGCTGCTCCTTGCGGAAGACCACAGACGAAGGACGAGGTTAAGAACGGGGGAAGTACTGCCGCCTACAGGTCTGGCATGTCCTTAACAACGTATTTATCTGGGTACGTGTGGACAGAGTTTGTTTTTAAAACGCGGTGGTGTGGATGCAAGTTTTTGGAGGGGCGGATATTCGTTTTTAAAAAACCCGGCTACGTGTGGACTAGGCCTTAGTTTGATTGGTCTGTCCAAATTGCCCTTAGGTGTGAGTGTGTGTGTGTGTGATTGTTTGTCCTGTGTGTCTCTGTGTTGCCCTGCGATGGACTGGCTCTCTGTCCAGGGTGTACCCCGCCTGATTGCCCGTTGACCGCTGGAGATAGGCACCAGGCCCCATTGGTGGACAAGCGGGTTCAGACAATGGATGGATATATGTATTTATTTAGTATCACTAAATGATGCACCATTGGCAGACAAGTGTTTTTGGGTATGATGTCACAAGCTTGGCACACCTATCTTCGGTCAGTCCAGTCCATTCCTCTTGGCAGCACACCTCAAGTACTCAGGCATCTCAATGCCCGAGTCTGGCTTCACTGGCCAACGACAGCTTGTATACACAAACTTACTCAAGCCGTAACGGCCGACATAGCGCAAGTTTTCAATGAGCTGGAACTGCCTGATCTTAAGGAGCTAAAACTTCTGTTACAAAAAATTCCTTAGCTGTCGACAAATTTAACAGATGTGGCGTCAAGCCAGAAAAGACCTTGGGCTGAGCAATCAGATGTGTGCTCTCCGTCGCGTTCGGTGGACGGTTAAAAAATTGGGCTCTACTCAGTCCGTCCTTGCATCGATAATGGCGCTGCATGTCTTTGTAGGAGCAGCAGTGGCTCTGGAGATGGAACAAGTGTTCCAGCAATCAGAGGGTTGTAGGATCGATCCCGGCTCTCAGGAGAGAATGGTGTCGTTGCGTCCTTGGGCAAGACACTTAAGCCACCTTGCCTGTTGGTGGTGGTTGGAGGTGGCACCAGTGCTCGGCAGGGTCGCCTCGCCTCACCAGCGTGTGAATGGCTGTGTCTCAATTCAGGGTCTGCATCCTACGTCGGCCGGATTCGTCGGCCGGTTACGTCACAGCGCCGCGACTCGGCCTGTCCCAATTCGAAGACTCCTTCAAATGCGGTCGACGAATGCGGCCTTCTTTTCGCCTGAATGAAGGATGGGTCCGGTGTATCCTTCAATAGGTAGCATTTCCCAAGATGCCTTGCGGGCCGGCCAGCAGAAAAACTTAAAAACAATGGCGGACAGTGAAGCGGGAGCTGTCGGAGAGGATTGCGCATATAAATGTAAGTATAAACTTGAAAACTGTTAGGTTAAGGACTTTTTGTGATACATGAACGTTATTTTAGTTAGAAATGTTAAAGTAAGAGTGCTTGTATTGCGGTCTCGGCTCGTATGTTCGGCCGCTCGGTGTCGTACTTCTCCCGCTACGTTTCCCCCTGATTTTAATAGAAGTTTGTATTTTAGGTACAAAAGAGAAAACCAGGGAAGTTATTAAGCTTAGGGCGGAGATGGACCACATGATCACCGGAGCAAAGTATTCGGCGGCTGTGGCATGGAGGTACAATAACATTTCATATTTTAAAGAACTCGTTTGAGTTTATTTTTTCTGTGAAAACATGAAAGGAATAACCCGTTGTCCTCTTTTCTCTTCTTGTTTCTTTTCTTACATGTTTGTTAAGACTATTCTGGAGAAAATGGGCATCCAGGGGAAGGTGCCAGCGATGACCAGCTTCTGGAGCTGATCAGGGAGGACATGAGGCTGCAGAGGGAGGCAGAGCAGCAGAGGGCCCAGGAGAGAAGGGAGAACTTTGACAGCTTTTTACTTTGCTAGAAAAAAATGGTTAATAAAGATTAAACATGTACATATAAAAGAAATATCTAAATAAAATCAGTTCTGCATTAAACTCTTGAATTTTATTTTTGTTTACAAATGAGAATTGTTTAATATTACAGGGTATCCGCTGGGTCTTGAAAAGTCTTAAAAGGTGACAAATCGGTTTTGGTCAAATTAAGACCCTTAGAAAGTATTAAAAACTATTATCACATCTTTGCTCAGGCTCAGCTTGTCTAAAGTATTTTCTCTGAATTAGCTCTCCAACAGTCAAGGAAATGATTAACCCCCAGAGACCCACGGTTGTAGTATTACAACATCAGATTTAAGTCTACAAAAATAAACCTTCCCCATTTTTTTCTTTTTAAAACCACATTTACATTGCTAATAGGTCCTATTGTTCAGTTCTGCAACACTATTGGCTGTTAAAATTTGTAAATAGGCCCGTTTATCTGGCCTCCTAGAACAACATGTGAAAGGTTAAAAAAAGATTTTGCAGTTGTTTTCTAAATTTGGGTTTCTGGGGGTTAAAAAGCTAAATAAAACGTCGAGCTCCATCGTTTAAAGTTCCTTCTCCCTTCTGCCCAGTGGTTCCACGGTTGCTAGGCGACGGAACGTTCGCGGAGGGAGTTCATGAAGGCTAGGCCTGTCCAAATTCACAGCCGTTAACATCCGGTCTACCCGGCCGACGGAGGACGCAGCCCACGTCGGCCGGGTGGGCTGGGTCCTTCGAAGGATGCAGACCCTGAATTGAGACACAGCCAATGTGCGTGTGAATGACTGAATGTGTTGTGAAGCACCTTGTGGGGTTGTTGAACCCTAAGAGGATGCTACACAAATATAGGCCATTTGCACTTCTGCAGAGGGAGAAATATAAACTAGGCCACAGGCTAGCAGTTCGTCGTCACCATGGTGAGATGAGTAGACACCTCCATGTCTTTTAGCTTGTCTCTGTGTATTTGTGAAGGAGTTTGTGTTGAAATGTCAACTGTGTGAAGATTTGCTGTGGTCAGCATGCTAAGCTAACAGAGGCTAACCTCTCACTAGGCACACTTATTTTGTTTGATGAACAGACCAATTGTGCACCATCAAACACTCAGCAGATAGACAGCTTAAGTCTAACGAGTCTGTGATAAAGGAGCCGTTTTGGAAAGGTTTTCTTGGCTCTGTAGCTCTGCACGGTTGGCTTCTGATGGTGGTTTGTTGTTTTTATGCTTAAAAGGGACATAATAATGTTTTAAAACAAGCTGTGTTTATTTCAAACGTGAGGGTTCTTTATTTGAATACGAGCATTTAAATATATCTCCGTTACTTTTCTCTACAAATATCATCACTAACCACCACTGGTGTAAACATTAGACCAGCTTTAAAACTCTAAAATGGCTTTAGCCAAGCCAACTTTATTTATATAGCACCTTACAAAATTGACCAAAGTGCTACACAGACATTAAAATACATTAAAACAATACACAACACAAAAATGTATAAAAACTGAAGCTTAAGAACTAAAAATAAAAAATAAAAAAGTGGAGGCCGACCGATAGATTTTATTTTTTCTATATTGGCCATTGCCAAAATTATTCTTAAAAGCCAATTAAAAAAAATTCAGGAGCCTTTTTCATTGTTTACACCTAAGGGAATATTCCAGCTTGTTAGCAACAAAATCCTTCTTCTCACGTATCTAACTCTGGGAAATCCAACAGTCAAAGTTTTACTTCAGAGTGGAATGTCCCTTTAAGTTTGGTGTTTAATGTTTGCACTATCTTTTATGTATAGTTTAGATTTTATTTTTTACCACAGTGTGCTTTACTTTGTGAGCGAGGTGGGATTGTGAAACACCAAGGTACAAAGAATTACAGCAATCAAGCCTTGATGTGTAAAAGCATGAATTACCGTTTCAAAATCTTTTTCTGACAGCAGAGTCTTTACTTTGGGGATCCTTCTTAATTGATAAAAACTAGATTTAGTCACCGCACTGATCTGCCTGTCCAAGACAAGATCCCCATCCAGTACAACACCCAGGGAAGTCACACTCAGTTTCAAGAATGGGGCGAGCTGACAGAGATCAACCGCGCCCACTCTAGACAAAGTACTTGGACCAAAACTACAACCTGTCTTTTTATCATTAAAAGAAGGAAGTTAGAGAACATCCATTAACCTCAACAAGAACCATTCCACAGTGAGGAAAGTGCATAGAGCACCCTGATGAGAAGTGCCCTCGATCCCAGTCTGAATGTCTGTGCTGCAGGAATGCCAGCCTTCTTGGGTAACGATGAAGGGGAAGAGCTGAATTCTGAAATCTACCAACAAAGAAGACCACCTATGTGATGTCAGATGACGTTCTGCAAAGACAACATGACTGCAATTTGTACAACAGGGCGTTCACACAGACGCAGTTGTTTGCCTGCCTTTCAGCATCAGGAATGTGAGGAATCCTGACTGAACCATTTGACTGTAAAAAGAAGCGCTTCCACTCTAAAGAGCAGAATGAAATATGAGCAGTGGGGAGTGGTGGTCAGGGTCCTTTATCTGTGATGCTCCTTCCCTCTGGGTCTGGCCATGAGAAGTCGGGGTGCTGCTTGGACAATGTAGCTGTGTGAGATCCCTGTCTATATGAGTGATCAGAAGACTTCTTTGTCCCACTGAAACGGAAAAAGAACTAAAAGCAACAAAAACCTCCTGAATTAAAGTAAAATCAAGGTCACAAGAGTTCAACGGGAGCCTGGGCATTGTGACAACCCATTGTCCTATTTTTCATCTATCAACAGCTTATTGTCAGCCGTTTGGTTCCAACCATCAGTGGCTAAAGAGTCACAATAAAACCAGAGTAAGGATAGGGCTCAGTGTCTACCTCAGCAACACAAGCCAGGATCAAACCACCAACGTTCCAACTGATAGCTACTCATTTCACTAAAGCTTCATTTATACGTCTCCATCAGCTTGGGCTTGGCACACACGCGGCGACAGAAACCTTTTCATTTCACACTTCCCCGTTCCCCCGACCAGGAACACAGCGCTTTTCTTGGGGAGCCAAAAGCACCAAAAGACAATTCAGAGTCCCACTGTTATTTAAAGAGCAAGTCACCCCCTACCAGAGTATTACTCAACTCCCACTTCCTGTTTGAAAAATGCAACAAATGCTGTTGCCTAGCAGACCGAGAGGGCGGAACCGCTAACAAATACACACACACAAAGACTCACAACGACATTGTGACATCATATGGTACCAGCTAACGTTCTAGGGTGCCTCTTAGCCAATAGCAATGGCAGATTTAAATTCAAATGCAGTGCAGAGTTTTTACCTGACAACGGCACAACACTGACAGTTTTAGGTCGAAAATTACAGTTTTAACTAAAATGCACTAAAGTGCAAAACTACTGACTACACGTGTCTGCAGCATGATTAGACACACATTTATACAGTTTATCAGAAAAAAATAAGTTGATTTGGGGGTGACTTGCTCTTTAAGGTTTTCACATCTGGCCTGGCCCGGTCCCGCCTAGGTAGCGTCTGGCCGCCTCCATGCAGCCAGGATGTGTTCACGTCTCCTTCTCAGGAAGGGGCAACAGATGCACAGAGATGTCCATGGTGTTTACTACAGTACTGAGCAGCCTGAAAACGTTTTTTTTTTAAATGATCAGGGTTAGGGTTACAAATAACCAGGTAAATGAAACTGAATGCACATTTGATTATCTGGGCCACCTTGTATAGGTCAGTGTCTTTTACCACCCGAGTACTAACCCTAACCCATCCCTTCCGCCACTCTTCCTGTCTCTGCTTTTTCATTCCTTCATCAGGTTTCGAAGCCCTTTTGGAGGAGGAGGCAGCTTTTTGTGTTTGTCTCTTTGTAAGGCAGCGTTGGCGTGTTGTCATTAGAGTGCATAAAGCTGGGAATTACAGGAGCCTGGTCATGGATGGATCAGGTTTAAGCCTCAACTTTCCAAGACCATTTTTAGAGGCCCCTCCCTTAGGACCACTCTTTAAGATTAGAGTGTTTCCTGATGTTTTCAAAGGGAAGCAACTCATATCCCGAAGGTCTCAATACCCACGAGTTCCCAAACATTTACAATTACGAAAACATCAAGAAATGCCATGTACTAGCAGAAACCTCCCAAGTATTTTAAATGGTTCTTACATATATTTGTAGGCCTGGAGTTTGATTCATAAAGGAAGGAACTAGAGCTGGTGAATTGTTGCACCCCACCCAAGTCATCATGCCAGGGACGTCACTGGTAGTTTTATAGGAAGTTCAAGATAAATGTTTTTCAAACATTTAAATGTCCCTTTCTGGCAGTTAAACCGTAGACTGATTAAGTAGAGCAGATATCTACAAAAATAAGAGCAGCTTACCGTTCAACATCCCAGATACGAAGAGGGAAAAAGTTCTCACAGCAGGCGGTGCCCGTCACAAAGGAGCTGAAACGGAAAAACAATACCAGCTCTTACAGAAAAGCAGCAGGAAAAAACCCCAGATATTTTTTGTGGTCCTGAACATGTTTGGTAACCAGGTGACCCATAACCAGATAAACAACAGGTGACCTTTAAATGGATCTTTGACAAATGTAAACATGTTCTTCTACGTCCTCTCCAATCAGCACAGCACAATTTGTTCGTGATTAGTCATCAGACAAGTACTTGTGTGCTCACCTCAACAATAGACTGGACTGGTCTACAAATACAGATGCCTTGTATAAGGAGGGCCAGAGTCGACTCCACCTGCTGAGGAGACTGAGGTCCTTTGGAATAAGCAGGACTCTGTTGAGGACTTCTTATGATTTGGTGGTAACATCTGCTCTTTTCTATGCAGTGGCCTGTTGGGCGAGCGGATGCATGGACAGGGACAGGAGCAGAACTGAAAAACTGGTTCAGAGAACTAGCTCTGTACTGGGATGCCCTCTGGAGTCTGTGGTGGTGGTGGGTGAGAGGAGGATGTTAACTAAGCTGACGTCCATTATGAACAACCCACATATCCCTCAGCACGAGTCGGTGGGTGCGCTGAGCAGCTCCGTCAGTTAGAGTCTGATACACTCCCAATGCAGGAAGGAGCGCTTCCATAGATCCTTCCTTCCGTCAGCAGTTAGGACTTATAGCACATTATGATGTCATGAGTCACCAAGCCACTTTTACTCTACAGTCAGTACTCCATGTATAATACACCTGATAAATGTACATCTGTACATGTGTAATTACATGTTCATGCCTGTATTTAAAGATATCCATCACTTGGACAGTAAAAAGTAGTTGTAGGCAGCAGAACAGCTGATACTTTTTATATATTATTACTTTCACAATGTTTCACAACCCCATAACTCTTTGATGACTTGATTATTATTATTATTCTGAGCTACTACAGCAATCGATTTCCCTCTGGGATTAATAAAGTATTTTTGAATCGAATTGAATTTGATTTAATAATAATAATAATGCATTGAACTTATATAGCGCTTTTTCTAGACACCCAAAGACGCTTTCACACACTCTCACATTCACACACTGCTAGTGATGGTAAGCTACTTGTAGCCACAGCCGCCCTGGGGAGGTCTGACAGAGGCGAGGCTGCCATTTGGCGCCCTCGGCCCCTCTGACCACCACTAACACAGGCAAGTTGGGTGAAGTGTCTTGCCCAAGGACACAACAGCAGGATACCCCTGGCGGGAGCTGGAATCGAACCCATGACCCTCCGATCATGAGGCAACCCGCTCTACCACCTGAGCTACTGCTGCCCCAAATATATCCATAATGCTTACTGTGTATGTGTCTACATAGGAACTACTGTTGTATATGGTGTCTTGTCTTTTGTCTTTTTGCATTCTCGGTCACTTTTGCACCACTTCGCTATCTGTCTGAGCTATTTCCCCACTGTGGGATCAATAAAGCCTTATATTATTATTGGGATTGGTGGAATTACAGGACAAAGGTGCCAAGGTCATAGAACATAATTCTAGTATCTCCTATCACAATGTTCTTTTAGAAAGGCTTGAACATGTTGTAGGGATCAAAGGAACCATACCATACCATACCAACTTTATTTATGAAGCACATTTAAAAACGGCATGGCAGCCGACCAAAGTGCTGTACAGAACAAAAAGTAAAAACACAATATAAAACAACACACGGTCAACAAAAAAATACACAACAAAGCAGATAATCATGGTCAATAAAAAGACACAGTAAAATAATAAAAGTCAGGGATTTTAAAATGCCTGGTCGTAAAAGTGAGCCTTAAGTAAAGACTTGAAACGGAGGAGGGATGGTGCCAGCCTCACTGAAAGAGGAAGAGCATTCCAGAGTGTCAGAGCAGCATAGACAAAAGCACGCTGCCCCCGCGTTTTGTATTTAATTGTTGGAACGGGAAGCAGCAGCAATCAGCAGATCTCAAAGCCCGGGCTGGCACATAACGAGTGACAAGATCAGACAGGTAATCCGGAGCCAGACCATTCACGGCCTTAAAAACAAAAATCAGGATTTTAAACTTGACTCTGAAGTTTATGGGTAGCCAGTGGAGCCGCGCCAGTACAGGTGTGATATGGTCTCTTCTAGGGGTGTTTGTTAAAAACCTGGCTGCCGCGTTTTGTACCACCTGAAGCCTGTTAAGAGCGGAGGCATGTAAACCAATTAAAATGGAATTTGTGTAATCCAGTCAGGAGATGATAAGAGCATGAATTACGGATTCCAGGTGTGCTCGTTTCAGGATCGGTTTTAAGCGAACTAGTCGGCGCAGCTGGTAAAAACACGATCTGACCACTGCGTTAATCTGAGGGCCCATGGAAAAGTGTGTATCCAGTTTCACCCCCAGGTTGGTAACACACTGCTTGAGGTCATATGTGAGAGTGTCCAAATCAGGATATAACAGGGTATATACAGCAATCCTTAAGTAAAATTTACTACTTTTTAATACTTTTTTTACTACCTTCAGAATTTTTTTAAAACCATCACAACACTAAATTGCAAGTGTTAATCAGTGACCTATTTACACATATTTGAACATATATAACATACAAAAAGAATAGACTTAGAGACTCACTGATGTTGACAACGTATTGCACATATTTATTTTACTTAGAAAATAAGCCAGGCACTTCTGTTCAGCGGTTCAGTTGACCACGAGGCCTGAAATGATGCAGAACGAAAACTGAATATGACGTCATCATTATGTGACCGGATATGCTAAAGCAGGGCTGCTCGATTATGGCAAAAACAATAATCACGATTATTGTGACTGAAATTGAGATCTCGATTATTTAAGACGATTTTTCAATTTATGTAGATTTTTATTTTTTTATTTTTATTCAGTCATAAAACTGCTCAGGGCACAATCAGGACAAAAATAAACAAGAAACAAGATGATCACTAAAATAACTCCTGATTCCCAGTATAAAAAGACCAATATACTTATAGCTCATAGTCTATGACCCAAGGGCTATAGACCTTGGTTTAACTCATTTAAGTCTAACCAGTACAGACCCAAATACCAATATCTTGCAAATACTGACAGCAAGAATTATACTGTGGCATTTATAACAAATACATGCAAATTGCTGTTCACTAAATGTTGCATAACATTTATTGAGTCATGTCAAGGTGCTGTAGGAGAGTGCACTAGCACCGTGTCCTCAGAGAGATTCGTTATTTATCAGCGTGAGGAACTTATTTCTACCTTATTTATAAACTATTTATTTACAGGTCCATCAGTTAATGTAATAATTGTCCCAACCACAGCTGCACCCCCCACCCCCCAGCCCGGTCTCACAGCAATCAGGGGCAAGCTGCACGTGTGTTTAGCGTGCCGCACGCGCACATTTAGCCGTTTTTATCGGCTCAGGAGTCCGCAGGTGCGGTGTATGTGTCACTCACTCTAGTTACTCCAACAAGGAGCCGGCTCCGAGAGCTGTCTTTAGCGACTGACACATCACTACATCATTCCCTTTCCTAATGTCCTGAAGAACGGTCCGGAGCGCAGGCGGAGTGTTTAGCTAACTTGCAGGAAATGTCGACGACAGTTATCCAGAAAGTAGCTAAGGGTTACCAGAGATGTTTCTGAGGTGTTCGCTAGGTACTTTTAAGATTTAAAAAGTCAAGAAGGGGGTCTGAGAAGCTGTTAGAAATAGCGTCAAAGTCGCTAAGTTGGCAACACTGGGAGGAGCGCTTCATTTGCAACTCAAGGCAGCTCAAGTGGGAGGAGCAAATAATCGGCTTGTTTTGTTTTTATAATCGTTCAAAACATTTCATTCGGAATATATTTCTATGTCGATGTTCAGAATACGACATCTGATAGTCTGAAAAAAATAATACCTAATTTGGAAAAAATAATACCTCTGAGACCAAATTTAACACTTTTAATGGCCTTAAATTTGACTATTTTTATTTATCACTTTTTAATACTTTTTAAAAGCCCGCGGACACCCTGGATAAATGTGTGGTTTTGTTAGGGGTCATGAGGAGTGCCTCCGACTTAGAATCATTCAACTTAAGGAAATTGTCGGCAAGCCAAACCCTCACTTCAGCCAAACATTGGTCCAGAAGAGAGAGGGAGCCTGGTTTGTTCAAAGCCAGGTAGATCTGGCAATCATCTGCATAAATATGAGAGCCCAGGCCATATTTCCTCAGGATGAAACCCAGGGGGAGGATGTAAATTGAAAACAGGAGAGGCCCAAGCACAGATCCCTGCGGGACTCCCCATGGAAGTGGAAGGAATGTAGAGGAACAATTACCCAACTGAACCTTGAAAACTCTGTTTGACAGGTATGAGCAGAACCACTGAAGTGAGGTACCCCTAAGCCCTACCCATGACTCAAGTCTATCCAGCAAAATATCGTGGTCAACTGTATCAAATGCTGCATAAAGATCTAATAGTAGGAGCAAAACAGGAGACCCCGAGTCAGAAGCCACCAGGATGTCATTGGTCATGCGAAGAAGGGCTGATTCAGACTGGAACACATAATTCAGAGAAAAGCTATTCATGTGTGCTGTAATCTGTGAATAGACAATCTTTTCAAGGACTTTAGACAAAAACAGTAATTTGTGCTAGGCTGGTTTAAATCCTACCTGTCTGATAGATTTCATTTTGTAAATGTACATGACAAATCTTCTTCATACTCCAGGGTTACTTGTGGAGTACCACAGGGTTCAGTGCTTGGACCAATTCTTTTTACTATATATATGCTCCCAATTGGTAAAACCATAAAACAGCATGGGATAAACTTCCACTGTTATGCTGACGATACTCAGTCATATCTATCCATTAACCCTGATGAACCTAATCGGTTGGGTAGATTACAGGCTTGTCTTGAAGACATAAAAAATTGGATGGCTCAAAACTTTTTGCTTTTAAATTAAGACAAGACTGAAGTTCTCATCTTTGGACCCGAAATTCAGAAAAGGAAATTGCTTAGTCAATCACCTGACCTGAAATTAGT